GGGTTTAGGGTTTAGGGTTTAGGGTTTAGGGTTTAGGGTTTAGGGTTTAGGGTTTAGGGTTTAGGGTTTAGGGTTTAGGGTTTAGGGTTTAGGGTTTAGGGTTTAGGGTGTAGGGTTTAGGGTTTAGGGTTTGGGGTTGCCATCTTCGAGGGCCAACACACCGGACCTGGGGCATCGTGTCCATGAGCTCCAGAAAGCCACGCCTGGCCGAGGGAACTGACGGCAGCAGAATCACTGGCTGACTACACAGCCTTACTTGGAGGTTCATGGTACGTATTAACCTATTAGAATTGTACTTATCAGCCTCTTAAAACTGCCCTAATATGGTTCTAAGTACAGTTATAAGTACAGTTCTAATTGGTAAACTGTTAATAAGTACCATGAACCTCCAAGTAGACCTGTGGGAGGATCCAAAAAGGTACAGGCCCCGAAGAGTACCTTATACTACTATTGGGGGTCATTCTTAGGAATCCTGAAGGGGATCTACTTTTTGGATCCTCCGAAGTGGCCGCAGCCCACGCCGCAAACTCTTTTCTCCTTGGTGTTGCCTAGCATTTGGCCCATGATCCCTCTGGGATGGCCGGATCCTCTGCAAAGCATGGGTGCTATAACAAGCTCTACAGTGTCTACACTCTACACTACATCACGAAGTCGTTGCCATGAGGCAACCCACACATGGCATGTGCAGCCGGCACGAGGCTGCGGCAAACAGTGTTCCGATTGGCGTGCGATGGAGAATTGACAGGACACGTCGGAAAGTACAGGCCGAGAGCTTCGACTAAGACAGTCGAGGCCGCTCAAAGATCTGTTCGCAGCTGCGACCCTGAGCCATCCCAACTACTAGCTAGGGCTAGAACTGGTTCCTCGATCTCAGCTTCATGGATTCTACTCTGTTGGCCACTCCTTCTACTCCCACTCGGCCTGCACCTTCCAGGAAAATGGTCCTACGCACGGCACCGTGCCCAGAATAGGCTGGAGCCTAGTCTAGGGCCTAAGCAGCGCAACGGGAATGGGAAGTGCCGCCACGGGTGAGCCGTAGCCCTCACCTTCGGCCACCGGAGTGGAGCCAGACCTGGTACCTATACTCCCTACTTAGAACCTTGACAAAAACACTATTCTTAATTATCCTCTTGGGTTCTATATAAACAAAAAAAGAAAAAATAATTCCAAAAAAGGGGAAACATAGGTACTGGATGACGGGACCACCGACCTCGGAGTGGATGGCAAGGAGGCCACGGGGGTGCCAGGGCCGAAGGAAGAGTTGGTGCGCCAGCCGTTGGAGTCCGTTTCGAGGTCGGGCTTGGGGATCTTCAGCCGGCTGTAGCTGGGGTTGTTGGGGGTGTAAGGCATCCCCACCGATGCTGGGCTGGCCGAGGCCAGCGTCAGGAAAGTGTTGGAGCAAGGGGAGATGGGGAGGAGGAGGGGAGCTTGAGGATAGGGAGTTGCCACTGGCGTGGGCACAGGGCCTTGAGGAGCTTGGAAGCGCATCGGCACAGCTGGGCTTGCTGGGCTTGCTGGGCTTGCTGGGCTTGCTGGGCTTGCTGGGCTTGCTGGGCTTGCTGGGCTTGCTGGGCCTGGGGTCTGACCCGGAGCGCTCTCGTAGGCCCTCTTGTCCATTCCTGCCTTGTTGGCCCCCATCTTCCGGTTCTCCCTGCCCTCCCTCCTCTCCAGCTTCTGGCTTTTGGGGCTTTGTAGCTTGGGATCCTCTGCTGACAGGTACACCGGCGCCCGCGCGAAGTTGGGTTGCAGCTGGGCCAAAATCTGCTCTGCGTCGGGGAGCGGCTTCCGCAGCGAAGCTTTCCGCTGATCCGGGTGGGTTCTGGCCTCGGATGGCCCAGAAAACCCTCGGAAAAAATCTTCCTCAGTATGACCCTCTTAAACCCCAATAAGGTAAGTCTTGAAAGAATCTTCCTGAATATGATCCCCTCAAAAAGGTAATCCTTCAAAGAATATTCCTGAATATGATCCTCTTAAACCCCAATAAGGTAAATTCCTTAAACAATACCCTAAACCCTAAACCCTAAACCCTAAACCCTAAACCTCCCAACAACCTACCGAGTGGCCGGCTCTCCATGAGTGAAGGCACAAAGAACTCCCCGGCGGCAGCTCCGGTCACTGCAGGGGTTTGCCTTGTAGAACCTTGGGTTTAGGGTTTAGGGACCCAAAACCCTAAACCCTAAACCCTAAACCCTAAACCCCAAACCCTAAACCCCCAACCTCGGGTGGTAGAGCTGCTCCTTGGCGCCGTGAGCGAGTGGGCAGGCGAACCCAAGTGGGCAGCGGGCGAGGTAGTCGGTGTCCGCCGAGCTCCTCGGAGAAGCCATGCCACTGCAGAGTACAGATAGACAAAGTTCAGGAGGGAGAGGGAGAGGGAGAGGGAGAGGGAGAGAGAGAGAGAGAAAGAGGGAGAAAGCGAGACAGAGATGACTGTAGACCCACAACAGTACAACTAGCATAGCCTCGCGCTCTCTCTCTCTCTCTCTGTGACTGTCCGTCTCTGTCTTTCTCTGTGACTCTTCCTGTCGATCTTTCTCTCTCTCTCTCTCTCTCTCGCCTTCTCTCTCTCTCTCTCTCTTTCGCTCACTCGCTCACTCGCACGCTCTCACGCTCGCTCGCTCTCTCTCTCTCTCTCTCTTTTTCTTTCTCTTTTTCTTTCTCTTTTTCTTTCTCTTTTTCTTTCTCCTTCTCCTTTTCTTTCTCCTTCTCCTTCTCCTTCTCCTTCTCCTTCTCCTTCTCCTTCTCTTTCTCGTTCTCGTTCTCGTTCTCGGGAAAACAAGCAAATGCAGTGCCGCCTCGCCTGCAAGTGCAAGGACCAGACATGTGCTACACCACAACACCCAAATGCATGCTTGCACAAACGCCCACACACGACCCACACCCACACCTGCATCCACATCCGCACCACACCCGCACCCAGGCCCATACACCCACTGCACACACACCCACGCCCACACCCACGCCCACGCCCAGTCGCACACCACACCCACACCCACCACACCCGCACCTACACCAGCACACACACACACACACATGTAGACAAGCTAAGAGACTGGGCAAAACGGCATTGCTCTCAAGCTATGTTGAAGTAAAGGTTCTGTTTCGTGCTCATCGCCCAACGTTGACAAGGCTGCGATGAATACCCAAGCATGGGAACACGCCGGAAATCACGGTAGGTGTGGGCGTAGACGCAGTTCTCCCAGTTGTGCGGACCGCCGATAGGGCACCACCTGAGACTCGCAGGGGGAGCACGGTACCAAAGCTCTCCTATGGAAGTCTTAGAAGCACAACGTACGCTGAGCTCCGCACTGCGTTTTGAAATGGTGCGCCATGAACTCTTCTGTCGGGCGGCTCTCCTCCTCTGGGGAGAAGTGGGGCCCAAGCAGTTCGTCGCGGGCGTGCGCGAATGCACAGAGCTGGCCGCGTGGGCACTTCTGAAGCTGATGGCAAAAGCGCTTTTTGTAGAGATCGGGGTGATACAGCAACTCTGTGTTGCTGTGACAACGGTTGCAGAGCTCGCCGTTGGGGCAGGGTTGGTCATTGTCGAAGCGATGCTCACAAGGCACGCTCATGTAGGCTAGAGCTTGCAAAGATGATGTGTTTCCAACGAGAACTGGTCGTCTCCTCTCACGCTCACTGTGGTACCAGGGACAAGCGCGGTGGTCATGGTCCACATCGCAATTGCACGGCTGCGTCTTGAAGAAACGGATCATCCACAAGGGGTTTGGGCGGTCAACTTGTTCCATCTGTTCCACATGGATTGACATTGCTCTGGACGGGGAGGGGTCGAAACCCGCTTCGAAATAAGAAGGAACCTCTGCTGCCACCAAGCTTTGCAGCGGCACCAGGGGTGCTTGGCCAAAGTCCATGGCCTTGCCCCTAAGGCCCTAAGGCCCTTAAGGGGCCGCGGCCTCAACCTCCCCTTTTTTCAGCCAAGCTTGCCGCAGAAAGGTCGGATGCGCCCAAGCACACCCACACCAACAGAAAGAACGCCGCATGTGCTGTCAGGAGTTCTCACGAGAGGTACGTGCATTACATATATATATATATAATACATACATATTTGTCGATTCATTATCTGTATTCGATTTATTTGTTTAAATTCAAGTATATCATATTTGCCTCGGCTTCCTGCCGAGAAGCGTCTGGAACAAGCAGACCCGGATCGGGCCTCCTTCCCCCTAACCCAACCCTTCCCATGCCAAATTTTCTGACGCCACCCCCCCCCCCCCCCCCGCCCTGTGGGACCCCCCCCAATCCCTTGGAGGAGCTGCAAACCGATGCCGTGCGCTTGTCGGTGGCTCCTACAGGGGGAGTGCCCCCCCCCACCCCCCCCCCCACCCCCCCCCACCCACCCCCACCCACGCCCCCCCACCCCCCCCCCCCCCCCCCCCCCCCCCCCCCCCCCCCCCCCCCCCCCCCCCCCCACCCCCCTCCCTCACCCCCCCGCCCTTCCTCCCTTTTTTTGCGAAACCCTCTTTCCTCCTTTCCTGTCCTGGGGCCGGCCCGGCTGCCGAGGCGGCGCGCGCAAGCGTTTACAATTAATTCATATTGTATTATATTACACTATATAATATAATATTGTATGAACAATACTATTTTTATTCTGATACCCCACCGCGCACCCAAGTGTCCTCCCGCAGCACACTCCCGGCACCTGACTTGCCATTTGGGGTCGCTGGCACCGGCTTGGAGCTCGCCGATGTAGGTCGCTGCTAGGTCCTCTCAAACTCTCAGAGGGTTTTAGGGTTTAGGGCCCTGCGTAAACCCTAAACCCCTAAAACTTATAGAGCCCAACGAAACCCTAAGAACCCCTAATCCTTAAGAACCCTAAACCCTAAACCCTAAGAGCCCTAAAACTCGGAAAGTAAAGATTGCGAGCCCGCCCTCTTGACTCGAGGTCACTGCATCCCCTTGTTGGGGACTGCTATATACTGAAAGGGGGAAGAATCCCAACCCTAAACCCTAAACCCCCTAAAGGCCCGAAAGGTTTAAAGGGCTTAAAGGACCCGAAACAGGATTTAAAGCGCCCTAAACCCCAAACCCTAAACCCTAAACCCTAAAACCCCAACACTGTTGGGACCTCACCTTGTCCATCTTTGTCAGGGTCTCTGCCAGAGCCAGTGCTGCCCCCATCCTTGGCCCAAGCAGATCGGAAATTTTGGGGGTTCAGGCTTTAGGGTTTAGGGTTTAGGGTTCAGGGTTCAGGGTTCAGGGTTTAGGGTTTAGGGTTTAGGGTTTAGGGTGCAGTTGAGCTGTGCAAGTTTGTGGCAGGTCAAGGAGCAGTGATGCCCCAAGCCCTACACTCTAAGCCCTACACCCAACACCCTAAGAGTTTAGTGAATGGTAGTTTAGTTCCTTGGTTGTGGTATCCACCCTTGGCCCTTGGCATAATGACGATTTATTTCACGCCTATTTGCGACTGTTTTCGTCTATTTGTTAGTCCGTTTGATGATTCTGGTTATGATAGCTATGACTGGAAGCAATATAAGTGTCCAGGAAATTTATGACTCGGTATGTTTGTCTGTACTCAATGCTATGTGTTGTCTTTAAATATTGTCATGGTTATGATTCCTATTTCACAATTTTTCTATAGTAATAGTAAACAAAACATGAAGTGTACTTCTCAAGCCGTCTTTTTCCCTCAACCTTAAATCGTTAAACCCTCATACTTCAAAGGATTCCGCAAATACAAATTAGGGTTTAGGGTATTTTTAGGGTTTAGGGTTTAGGGCTTAGGGCTTAGGGCTTATAGGGTTTAGGGTTTAGGGTTTGGGGTTTGGGGTTTGGGGTTTGGGGTTTGGGGTTTGGGGTTTGGGGTTTAGGGTTAGGGTTCACGGTTTAGGGTTTATTTAGGGTTTTAGTATTGAGGTTCTTGCTGGGGTGGCGACCTACGTACCCTTCATCTTTGAGTCATACCACCCTAAACCCTAAACCCTAAACCCTAAACCCTAAACCCCAAGCTCATCCTCGCCTCTTTTTCTCTCCTTGGCGCATGCGATGGCCTTCCTGGAGCTCACCCGCTTTCGCGCGGACTTTTGGCGAGCTCCGGGTTTTGGGGGCTAAAGGGGCTTCTACGGGGACCCCAGAAAGGGTTTAGGGTTGAGGGTTCAGGGTTTAGAGTTTAGGGTTTAGGGTTTAGGATGTAGGGGTTAGGGTTTAGGGTTCGCACGGGAGCCCACGAACACATGTGGTGGGTATGATGGCGGGCTTGCAACAGACATATGTCCTGGGGGGGGTTCCCTTTTGGGCGTAAGATGCGCTGAAGGATTGACTGCATTCAGGGCAGGCATCGTTGCAGTGTCTGTTTTTTTTTGTTGGGGGCGGGGGGGGGGGGGGTTGGGGTTACAGGATCTAAGGGTCTACAGCCTTGTGGGCAACCAGGGATGGAGTATGTCAGGGAGCCAACGGGCCTTCCCTCCACCGTCCATATGCTTTCTACGGCCCTCTCGCGCAATTCCTGGGGCCTGTTTTGCCCCATCATGCGGCACCTACTGATCCTTCTTTGCTTCCTCGCCCGTGTTTCCAGCCATTTGCTGGCGGATGTACCTGGGCGCAAAGTGGGTATCCACCATGTCCACGTGCAGGTGTGCAGGGATTTGACCAACAGGCTCCACTACGTCTCAGAAAGCCTAAACCCCACAGAACTCCCTGGTTCTTAGTAGGGAATGAGGGAATTAGGGCCGTATCCATATATGCATATACATATATATATATATGTATAGTATACCCTTTAACGGATTATATCGGGCCCTAATTCCCTCATTCCCTACCAAGAACCAGCCTGGTAACTCTGTGCTGCCGAGAGGCTCTTCGGGGGTCTGGTGCTCCATTGCGTACTTCAGGGCGACTGCTCCAAGCGTCAGCTGGATGAACCTTGTTTGGTAAACCCTAAACCCTAAACCCTACACCCTAGAGCATGTACAGGCCTCAACCATGGCGATTGCGTACACTCCTCTGCAGGCCCTGGTTGTCTTGGCACCCTAAGCCCTAAACCCTAAACTCTACAGACTCTAAACCCTAAACCCTAAACCCTAAACCCTAAACCCTAAACCCTAAACCCTAAACCCTAAACCCTAAACCCAAAACCCACACGGCAGGACGAGGGGCTTGCTGATGAACACCGTGGCCTCAGCATGCTGCGCATGCGAACCACGGGCGTGTTCAGGGGTAGATTTGAGATGGGAAGCCCTAAAAAGCACCAGATGCTCACCTGTGGGTTTACGACAATACGGGACCCCTCATATAGACCCCCCAAATAGTAGGATTCCCTTATATAATCAGGACACCAATAAGGTACCCCTATTTCGTAAACCCCCCCAACAAGCCCAAGTGGCCAGGATCTTGAATGCGTCCATCTCGGCGAGAACCCCCGCAATCACGATGACTGCGGTAGGAATAGGAATTGGCACTACCTGGTCATGACACATGCGCGCTTTCCAGCAAACAGGCGACCTGCAACCAGAGGGGTTGTTCTACTTGAGGGCCTCTGAATACCTAACGCTGAATTAACACTGCTTTCTTGGAGTTTGTTGTGACACCATAAGGGCTCCAACCTAGCGCCGACTCATCACCCTCTAACTGAATGCCCCGAAATCCTAAACCCCAAACCCGAAACCCTAAACCCCAAACCCTAAACTGCGCCTGAAGGGCCACCAGGCCAAGAACACCCCAGTCTTTGGCCAACTCGCGCGCCTGAAAAGTTTGTTGGTCTTAGGTTTTGGGGTTTAAGGCTTAAAAGTTTAAGGTTCAAAGGTTTGGGTATTTTGGGTTGGGGTTTCAGGTTTGGGGTTTGGGGTTGAAGGAAAGCGACGCAACTCAAAACCCAACGGTGCGCGAAACTACTTGGGGCTTAGGGTCTGGCAGTCTGGGGCTTGGGTTGTATGGTCTAGCGTTGGGGGCCTAAACGCTGGACCTCAAGCAAATTTAGGGCTGCAGGGTCTCCCCCCTCGGTGTGCCCGCGAGCACTATCCACGTTCACTTCTTTTGCGTGCCATCCAAAAAAACCTGTTTCTAAAGCCATGTCTTCTCTAGGACCCTAGGACTCCAGGTCTAGTCCACAAACAGGGCATGTGAGTCTTTTGTACGCCATGATTTTCTGGGTTTGATTTGTACGCCAAAACCCTAAACCCTAAACCCTAAACCTTAAACCCTAAACCCTAAACCCTAAACCCTAAACACGCCCCCCCAACAAGGGGTATGTTGGCTCTCTCGGCTCACCCTTCTGGCAGCCTTCGCGAGCCACTGTGAGTCCTCCACGCCAGCCTGAGGATGCGAAGACAGGGGTTTAGGGTTTAGGGTTTAGGGTTTAGGGTTTAGGGTTTAGGGATAAGGGTGTAGGGTTTAGGGTTTAGGGTTTAGGGTTTAGGGTTTAGGGATGTTTAGGGTTTAGGGGAACTTATCGCACCGGCTGGGGTTTGGCTGTTTAGGGTTTAGAGTCTAGAGGGTTCAGAGAGATTTGAGGTCAAGGTTCAGGAGTACGTGAATTCAGGCATGCTGGGGGTTTGGGTAGCTCGGATGCTGGACAGTTCGTGGTCCTTTCTGGGGCATCCTCAAGATAGGGGGGCACAAGAGCCCGTATTATCATGGGTGCCCCGAACGGAACCCTAGTTTCGGGAAGCTACCTTTTGGATGTTTCAACATCTAGTGGTAGATATACTTGACAGGGCTTAGGCTTGAAAGTATTTAAAGACCAAGGGGTGTAGGGTTTAGGGTGTTGAGGGTTGCGAGATGTTTCGAGAGATGGACGGTTGCGAGTCGCCCTAAGCCCTTTCCACCATCCTCAAGCTGGGATGTGCAACCGAAGATTGAGTTCCCTGTAAGCGCTCTCACCCTAAACCCTAAACCCTAAACCCTAAAACCCTAAACCCTCAACCCTTAAGAAACCCTGGCTCCCTCTATTTGCGTCTTTTCATGAAAACGTTCAAGGTGCACAAAGAGGCCGAAAACCCTCAAAACAGGCCTTGGCGAGGAGTCCCCGTTGGCCTTCTGTCTTCCTTGGCCGCCGAGCATTAGGGTTTAGGGTTTAGGGTTTAGGGTTTAGGGTTTAGGGTTTAGGGTTTAGGGTTTAGGGTTTAGGGTTTAGGGTTTAGGGTTTAGGGTTTAGGGGGTTCTGGCGCTTAAGGGGGGAGTACATCACGAGCATGAGTTGGGATGCTCCCCCTAAAAAACAGTCCTGGGATGAAAAGAGGGGGTACTATGATCCCAATTAAGGACTGTTAGTATAAGGGGGAACATCTTAGGATAGCCATGCTTAGGGTACCTGTAACCCTCCCTTGAAGCCACTTCCTAGGGGTCGAGTGGACTAGGGCAGGGTGTTCAGGGCCAAGGGCATAATACCAAAACACATTGGGCGAGTACTTGTTCAAGGCGGTTTCCAAACCATCTGAATATCTGCATGCAAACTCTCTATTTAGGTGCATCTATGTAGATGCCTCCATGTATATATGTATACATGTATATACACATGTACGTAATCATATGTATACATAGGTACGCATGCATGCATGCATCAACGTTGCTGCTCCACGAATTCTACAGAAGCTTTATTTGGTGATTTCTCCGGTTCAAGAGAAGGCAACACACATTCATTGGCGTGCATGTGATTCATGCCAGTGCTCAGATTCAATATTCTTCGTAGCTTAGCCCTATCAGCTGAAAGGCCAGAGTGGACCGGCAACCACCAACAAACTTCATTTGAAAATCACCGCCTGGATACATCCACTAAACCCTAAACCCTAAACCCTAAACCCTAAACCCTAAACCCTAAACCCTAATTAAACCCTAAACCCTAAACCTCAACCCTACTAAACCCTAAACCCTAAACCCTAAACCCTAAACCCTAAACCCTAAACCCTAAACCCTAAACCCTAAACCCTAAACCCTAAACCCTAACAACTCTTCTCCGAGGATCATGATCTCCACATAGAAGTAGCCAGCCAAAAGAGACCCAATACTCAGCATGAGCGGGGCGATGAAGAACGTCTTCCGCCGAGACATCACCTGACAGTGCAAGGCGGGTTCAGGGTTTCACGCTCATCCGGTTATGCGAAGAGGCAGAGCAAGCTGTCACGGAACATGAGAAGCAACGTGATGGATGGGCGTCATCTGGCAAGTCACAATGATGTTGAAGAGCAGCATCCTCAGCAAGTGGATCTCACACAAGCCGCGTCTTTCGTTCCGCTACGACATGTCTACTTAGGGTTGCTTAGGTGCCAGCCGAAGGGTCTAGGGTCTAGGGTCTAGGGTCTAGGGATTAGGGTTTAGGGTTTAGGGCTTAGGGCTTAGGGCTTAGGATTTAGGGTTTAGGGGTTTAGGGTTTAGGGTTTAGGGGTTTAGGGTTTAGGGTTTAGGGTTTAGGGTTTAGGGTTTAGGGTTTAGGGTTTAGGGTTTAGGGTTTAGGGTTTAGGGTTTAGGGTTTGGGGTTTGGGGTTTAGGGTTTAGGGTTTAGGGTTTGGGGTGGTACTGATTCACATCTGAGGCTCTGCATTATGCCGACGGACCACGTCAGCACTCCGCCAGTGATGGAATTCACGGTGCAGACCTTCGCACAACACCCCCCTAGACCCCCTAAACCCCCTAAACCCCCTAAGCCCCCCCTAAGCCCCCTAAGCCCCCTAAACCCCCTAAACCCCCTAAACCCCCTAAACCCTAAACCCCAAAACCCTAAACTCCTACACCCAGAGCCCTAAACAAAACTGCTGACCCCGCTCCCAGCTCCCCACCACTCAGCCGCTGGCTGCCAGCAACACCAGCGGCAGCCACCAGCTGTCACCATGCCTGATGCACCCCAAGGCTGGAATTCGGTGGCTTAGGGCTTTGGGGTCCTTGAACATGGCATGGGGCTGTTGGTCGACATGATGGCCCAATGTTAGAGACCCCCAGAAAAAGCCACTTGGTGAATCAAACCCCACATGCCTGGCTGCTGCCAGCGCCCAGCCCAGGCATTGCTCTTTCATCGACGCCATGGTACCGCAGTGGGCGTTTGGACCGCAGAGTTACTTTTTTTATAGCATGCCCATGAGCTGGGATCATTTCTCGGCAGTAATTAGGCTGCATAGAACACGCATGTTCCGATGTTCATAACATGTCGGCTGCCATGCATCCTGCTTGGACTATACTGGACAGGTGGCTGCAGTGATGATGGTGCCAACGTGACAGGACGATCAGCGGCGTAAGCAACAGTCCAGGCAAACCTACCTTTTCTATGTCACCCAGTTCAAGCTGCTGCAGTAGGTAGATGGCCAGGCACCGTTTGTGTAGGAAGGAAGGAGTCAGAACAAGAAAATATCAAACCTCAAAGCACCAGCTGGGTTCCGGTCTGCTCACCCTGTTCTCCTGGCAGAGAAGGCTTCATCGGCGCTTCATAACTCTTACATAGTGGTTCCTCATCAGGGGCCCCTTGTGAGTTGTGGGCCACTTCATGCCGCGACCATCCTCGAACCCTTCAATTTTAACTGCCGCCGCAGTCCGCGTTCAACGGGAGATGTTTTGTTGAAAAAAAATGGCTTCAGAGCTTGGGGGATTCTGAACAACGAACACCTTGAGCCTTCAATCGCTTTCAGCCCTCACTTTTTCCAAGCCTGAAATCCTCAACGTTCAAGCCCGAACCTTATCACCCCGAAACCCTGAACCTCTGCACCCTATAGGCCTGGCGCCAAAACTCCCTCACGCCCTACACCTCACTTTCGTCAGCTTCCTAAACCACAAATCCTATGCCTTTCCGGATCGGGCACCGGCCTGCCCGCAACTTTCCGAAGAGCCAAGGCTGCAACTTCTGCTGCGAGTATTGAGGCAAAACCTGAGGGATTAGTGGTCTTTCAAGGTTGAAGGCTTGGGCTTTAATAAACCCCAAAGCCAAGGCCCTAAACCCGAGCCGCACCCTCTACACCATTGAAGACTGGAGGGTTAGGGCCCACGGGAGTTCGGGTTTGAGGGTTTGGGCATCCAAAAGAGAAGCAGCCAGCACTCAACACTGTACATTGTGTAGGCATACGGACTCACGACAGGTCTATTGCTCATACGGTCAACGCTGCTGCGCAGACAACACGCAACGGCTACAGCAACTATACTTTCTGTATACTGCGCAACTGCACATGTTTTAGTGGATACGGTGCATCGCGCGTTCTAGCACGACGTGCTTAGTCTTCGATGCAAACTAGATGTGAACCAAGATGAGTCCACGGCGCTCAATCTTCAGTCTTGGGATGTTCCCACTTATACTAACAGTCCGTAATGGGGACCATGATAGCCCCTGTTCATGACTGTTAGTATAGGGTGCCAACTTCAACCTCTTTAAAAGGGGTTGGAGTCATGCATCGAGAACAAGATTGAGGAACCGAAGTGAGTGAAAACGGGATGCCACTTGTTTAGGAGTCTGCGGGTTCGATGACTCGCTGCGGACCTGCCTCGCTTCCTGTCCCCCAAAAACCCTAAACCCTAAACCCTAAACCCTAAACCCTAAACCCTAAACCCTAAACCCTAAACCCCAAAACCAGGGGCCTTCCCATACTCGCGTCTGACGCCTTGAGCCCCAAAGATTTTGAGGGCGATTTTGAGGGCTGCCCTACCCAGCGAACCACCAAACCGGCAAAGAAACTACGAAACAAAGGAAAGGACCAAAACTGTGAGGGGGAAGCCCTGCAGCCCCGTAATGGAGTCAAAAAACCTATGCCAACATGGGTTTAGAAAAGTAACGTATTTGGAGCCCAGGTATTGTACTGCTTTAACTAATGATAAGGTCATAAAGCAGTTCTGGGTTTAGGCCCGCATTCCATTCTTTGACTTATCAGAATCATGACCTCCAACAGATTATACTACTATTATATATATATATATACATATACATATATTCTTACATCTTCTATACCCCCAAAATAGGGCTGCACCTTGTTATTCCCACAAAACAAGGAAAACAAAGAAGTTTCAAGCGTGACCCGATATTAGTGATCTAAGTTTATAAAAGCTACCTTCCAGAACCAGAACTTTTGCAAGAATCTAAACGGCAAATTTACAGACACCCCCTCTGGACCGTCTAAACCGAAGTTAAAAGCCAAAGTAGGTAGATAGCGGGGGGCAGTACTATATGGTCGGATGTAAGCTACGGGGCAGGGGGGCCGGTTTTTGCGGGGAGGCAGGGTTGCGGGTCTAGGGTTTCAGGGTTGATGCAGAAGCGGCGCTTTCGCGTGAGGGGTGGGGGGGGGGGTGGGGGGGGGGTGGGGGGGGGTGGGGGGGGGGGTGGGGGGGGGGGGGGGGTGGGGGGGGTGGGTGGGGGGGGGGGGGTGGGGGGGGGTGGGGCCTAAGCCGTAGGGGGTCTATTTGATAGATTAAATACATATTATATACATATATATATGCTCACACACACACATCCTCACCCTACCGAGATGCGATGAACGGAGGTAAGGGGGGTGGGGGGAGAGAGAGTTGTTAGGAGAGTGAGTGAGAGTCAGAGGTGTGGGAGAGAAGTTAGTGAGAGTGAGAGGGAAGAAGTGTAGAGAGTGTGAAGAGAGAGAGAGTAGTAGTTGAGTGAGAGAGTGAAGGAGAGTGTCCCACCATAATTCAATATGTATACATTTAGATCCTATATATATGTATATTTATATAATGTCTATGATAGATGCTTCAGCATATTATGGATTTTTTTTTTGTGACTTATCATGTCTGTACCTTGTTTTTTTTTTGTTGGGGGGGGGGGGGGTAGGGGTAAGGAGGCTTAAGGGCTTATTTTTTTGTTGGGGGGGGGGGGGGTAGGGGTAAGGAGGCTTAAGGGCTTAGGGCTTCGGGCTTAGGGCACTCCCCACCAAGAAGAGCCGAACACAAATGCCACACCTTTGAAAAAGTACCCTACTGCATTGTTGGGGCTACAGATGATTGTGTGGGATGCTTTTGGGGATTTAGGTACAGGCTTAAGCCTCAAGCAACCCCACAAGTGTGCGCACGTATCTCCTCTCTCCTCCTTCCACTGACCCCTTCGTATCCCATCCCTCTTCCCCTTTGCAGCAGATACCACCTAAACCCTCCAGGCCCTGAGCCGAACCGAATTTCAAGCGTCCCGGATTGAACCTCCTACGCATGAGAACAACCATGGCGCAGGTCAGTGATTCACGTGATAGAAGCTGAAACCTCTACATGCTCTACTACACAAAAAAACAACGGGATCTGTGGATTGAGAATTCTCCGACCCTAAGCCCCTAAATCCCCTAAACCCCAAACAAACCTAAACCACGAAGCTTAAACTCGCAACCCTAAACCTTTCTGGGAATCATAGCGGGCCCTGTCGTCCCTGAGGCCCCCAAGACCCGAAGGCAGCTCAGCCGAAACTCACGATTTGGGACTTACAGGTACCCTATACAACCCTGTAAAGGATGATTTAAGGTACCCTATACATAACCCTTAACTTTAAAGCATTGCATCAGGTACCTGAGTCCCAAAGTTGTTGCCATTGCTTTTTAACCCTTCAAAGGATACTTCAGGCCCCTATAATTCGCAAGCTCTCTACACCCTAAACCCTAAACCCTAAACCCTAAACCCTAAACCCTAAACCCTAAACCCTAAACCCTAAACCCATGAATGCCTGCTCCATGACTCCGAAGGTCTTGGCCGCTTCACGCTTGACCTGCTCAGAAGATGGAGGGGTTTGGGGTTTGAGGTTTAGGGTTTAGGGTTTAGAGTTTAGGATTTAGGGTTTAGGGTTTAGGGTTTAGGGTGTAGGAGGAAAGCCCTTCTAACCCTGGGACCCTCTTTATCTACAGCTGTATGGGTTGTACCTACTAACTAAGGGGTACGAAACTGTAGGAAAATAGTAGGACTTTGGGTTTGCTATGTAAACCCCAAACCCTAATCCCTAAATCCTAAACCCTAAACCCTAATCCGAAAACCTGATGCCCACAACTTCCAGGATTGGTTGCGAGGGGGGCGAGGCATCAGTGGAGAGGGGCTTCGGGTTTACCATTTGTGGGCTTCGGACCGACTCCTTGGGGACCAAATGACTAAAAACAAATAAATAAATATATATATATACCCTGTACTACCATAACTCCTATTAAGGTATACGAACCATAGACCGGTTGAGGCTTCATTTGGTCCCAAGGCTTGGTGGCCCAATAACCTTACCATTCGAGCACCTTGCTGGGTTCCATAAAAAACAATCACGTTCGCAGAGTTCCTAAAAATGCAACATGGCTTTCAACAATGCCCCACTTTTGGGGCCCTAAACCCTAAACCCTAATTAAACCCTAAACCCTAAACCCTAATTAAACCCTAAACAAACCCTAAACCCTAAACCCTAAACCCTAAACCCTAAACCCTAAACCCTAAACCCTAAACCCTAAACCCTAAACCCTAAACCCTAAACCCTAAACCCTAAACCCTAAACCCTAAACCCTAAACCCCAACGCTACTTCTAAAAGCTGAACCAAGAACTTGATGCGGGCACCTCGGAAACGGGGTCGAACAGGGCCTGCTCCAACATGGGCGCCTCAGGGCACAGAGTTCGATCCCGGATATGTTGGAAGGGTGAGGGTTTAGGGTTTAGGGTTGAGGGTTTAGGGTCCGCCGACCCTGGCGGTGTGTTGGATGGGTTTCTGGAGGTGAAAACCTCCCTCTTTCCCTCCCACAACGGGGGGGGGGGGTAGGGGGTACCCCGGCAGCTTTTCTGTGGAGGAAAAAACAAGGCCACGTAACTCTTTTGGAAAAAACCCCCCTCCCTCCCCCCCCCCCCTACCCCCCCCCACGCCCCCCCCCCCCCCCCCCCCTGACCCCCCCCCCACTCCCCACCCCCCCCCCCCCCCCACCCCCCTCCCCCCATGCAAAGGACCGGTCCCCCCCCCCCCACGCCCCCCCCCAACCCCCCACCCAGACCCGAACCGCAAACCCAATCCACCAAACCCCAAACCTTAAACTTGTTCTCCTGCGGGGTCGGCGGCTTGAGCCGGAGGCTCTTAAATTTAGGGTTTAGAGTTTAGGGTTTCGGTTTAGGGTTTAGGGTTTAGGGTTTAGGGTTTAGGGTTTAGGGTTTAGGGTTTAGGGTTTAGGGTTTAGGGTTTAGGGTTTAGGGTTTAGGGTTTAGGGTTTAGGGTTTAGGGTTTAGGGTTTAGGGTTTAGGGTTTAGGGTTTAGGGTTTAGGGTTTAGGGTTTAGAGTTTAGGGTTTAGGGTTTAGGGTTTAGACACAAACCCTGATGAGCTCGGGATGCACTCCCTCGTTGGGGATTACGGGTTGGGTTTTGCCATAGCCAAGGTTCAGGCTGTTTCTCAGCTTTGCGGCGGGCAGATTCCAAGAAGTGGGCATACGTCACATGACTCATTCAGCGTCAGCAAGCTGAGGAAAGGGCGACCATTGGCAAATACGGCTTCATGAAATCGACCTGGGCATATTTATTCTGTTATGGCTGTTGACAAGAGTTCATATAGCACTCTTGAGGGCTAAGGGTAAACAAGTTCGCGGTTTCCAAGACTTTAGAAGCAGGGCTTACCATTGCCAAGGAGCCAAGCAGCCGTTTGAAAACACCGGAAACCGGAACAGACATCTGCCAGCGCACATCGAAAATTCAAGACACAGGTGTCCATAAAACAAGCCTCGGGAGCCTGGAAGCTCGAAATAGGGTTTAGGGTTTAGGGTTTAGGGTTCAGGGTTTAGGGTTGCTTTTGACTAAGCTGACCGCATTCTGGACCAGCTGCGATGTCGATCCTGACAGCAGTGCAGGCATGGGAGCGGAACATGTGGGGCTAAGGCAACAGCGAATGCGTGCCGACAGATAATTCTGGCCTTGTCCACTACATGAGATCTGAGGAACTGGCCGAAGATCTGCGCAGACCACTTCTTACTGGCAGGCTCTCGTTCCCTGGCAATGCTGCTGCAACACATGTCGTCTCTCGTGGCTACTGGTGAGTACTTGTTCCCAACAGCCGAAGGGTTGGGTTTCCATTCTTGGAGGTGGGGGGCCATTTGCCAAACCCGGAGGCCGGAACATGCCGGAACGGAACGCCGGAACGGAACGGAACGAAACTTGATCATCTTGGGTTTCAGGGCTGGGTTCATGAATCTTCCAACTCTGCCGCACTGGTGGATGCACCGTGCATGCAGCTCTTTGCCATTCGGATAGAAACGCGACCTGGCTCTCGGACTCTTCGCACATAACCTTGTGGAACGCGCCTAAAGCAAACGCTTCGCACCCATACCCTAAACCCTAAACCCTAAACCCCAAACCCCAAACCCTAAACCCTAACCCGAGCCTGAGCCCCCGTACGACGATGGGCATCAGAAGAGAGAGGGATGCCTGGAAAAATCTGTCGGGGCTCGCATCGCAGGGTTAGGGTTTAGGGTTTAGGGTTTAGGGTTTAGGGTTTAGGGTTTAGGGTTTAGGGTTTAGGGTTTAGGGTTTAGGGTTTAGGGTTTAGGGTTTATGGTTAGGGTTTAGGGTTTAGGGTTTAGGGTTTAGGGTTTAGGGTTTAGGGTTTAGGGTTTAGGGTTTAGGGTTTAGGGTTTTGGTTTAGGGTTTAGGGTTTAGGGTTTAGATGCGCTGACAGTGAATCATGGTGCTTGCGAGCGGGTCCACCGAGCTCCCGACGGCATCAATCAGAGACATAAACGTCTGATTGCCCATCCTCGCAAGCACATCCTGCCACGGATGAGTGCAACTTTCAAGCGCAGCACGTCGCCACAAAGCTTGTCCCCAATCCGCAATGCTCTCTCGCATAAACCCTATAAACCCTAAACCCTAAACCCTGAAACCCTAAACCCTACACCCTAAACCCTGAACCCTGAACCCGGAACCCTAAAGCCCTAAGCCCTAAGCCCTAAACCCTAACCCTAAACCCTGAACCCTAAACCGCCTCTTTGGGTGGCCTGGGCCCTCACAGCACCAAACCCCCAAATGTGTTCATGTGTTGGGTTAGGGTTTTAAGGTTTAGGGTTTAGGGTTCAGGTTTAGGGTTTAGGGTTTAGGGGATTAAGGGTTTAAGGTCGTGAGGGTTTAGAGGTTTAAGGATTTGAGGTCTTGAAGGTTTAAGGGTTTAAGGGGGTAAGGGCCCCTTGCAAATACAAGTCCCTGTGCCAGCGCCTGGGTGTGCTTTTGATTCGTTGGTTCCGCCAAGGCGGTGACCAGATCCTTCGGAACCCAGCAAGAAGACTAAAGGGGTTTAGGGGGTTCGGGGTTTAGGGTTTAGGGTTTAGGGTTTAGGGCTTTTGGGCTTAGGGTTTTGGGTTCAGGGGTTAGAGGTTGAGGGTTTAGGGCCGATTACTCATGCCCAGGGGTTTCTACATCGAATTAAGGGTTCTTACCCTAAACCCTAAACCCTAAACCCTAAACCTTAAACCCTAAACCCTAAACCCTAAACGAACAAGGGCTTAAAATTTAGGGGCCCCTGAGAGGGCCCTCTTGATAGAACCACCTACCACCATGTAGGGCATCTCTTGCGGCCTTTGGGGGGGGGGGGGGGGTGGCGAGACCCTAAACCCTAAACCCCAAACCCTAAACTCTAAACCCTCAACCCTAAACCCTCAACCCTAAACCCTAAACCCCAAACCCTAAACCCTAAACCCTAAACCGTATCCACCAAGCAGGGCGGGGTCTCCGCTCCTGAGACAGCTTCTTGATCTCAGGGCTTGCGACTAGCTTGCCGATCTCGCGCAGCACTGCCTCAGCTCAGCGCCACTTGCTAAACCCTAAACCCTAAACCCTGAATCCTAAACCCTAAAGGCTCTGTCGCTTCACCGGCCAAATTGACTCCCAAAGCGCGCCCATTGTTTCTGGTATGAGAGCCCCAATAACCCTCAACCCATGAGGCCGGGACCCCTGTGGCAGTGCGGATTTCGGCTCTAACCTTCGGTTTCCGAGGTTCCTTCCTCACTTGGGTTTAGGGTTTGGGTTGGGTTGCGCGGGGGAGGGATTCTTCTAAAAGGCCTTAATATTTAGGGCTGAAGTCTCGGAGAGTGTTTGTATGTTGGGTACAGGTAGTTGGGCTTAGAGCTCAAAGAACGTGGTTGAAGTTCTTAAGCCCCTAAACCCTAAACCCTAAACCCTAAACCCTAAACCCTAAACCCTAAACCCTGATTTACAAGCCTACTTACAACGTGCAGGAGAGCTGGTGCCTCCAGGGCAGCCTCCGCCAAGCGAGTGAGAATCTGCGGCAGGCACTCAGCCAGCTGCCTGGGCACCAGCTATCGAGTTGAGGGTTTAGGGTTTAGGGTTTAGGGTCTAGGGTCTAGGGTTTAGGGTTTAGGGCTTAGGGTTTAGGGTTTAGGGTTTAGTGTCACAATGAACTCAACCGCCAAACGTCAGGCAGATGAATCTGGGGTGTAAGGGTTGCGAGCTGCGCAGGCGACATGTGCATGCGCCAGCCTGACAGCAGAAGCGAAGAGACTCTAAACCCTAATCCTAAACCCTAAACCCTAAACCCTAAACCCCTCGACTCAGCCAGGCGCCCAGGGGTCGCATCCTTGGCAGACGTCGAAAGACTCACAAAGTCTCATGCCGCCGTGAGAGGCTCCGAGCTTGTGGCATCTCAAGCTTAGCACAAATCAAAAAGAGGTGCAACTGGAGAGCCACAGGAATCCCATGATGCTTGTGTGTAAACCCTAGGCCCTCAACCCCTGTGAGGTATGAGGGCCTGGATTCTATATGGGATCACTTGTAATGTTCCCTCAGTTCACTCTCAGGGCCATGCAAACATCTGCAGCAGGCATGGTAGCAGCACGTCGATGCAACCAGCTTTGGTTTTCCATCGTTTGTCCTCACCACTCAGGACTCATGATATTTCAAGAGTCATTTTTAGGGTTTAGGGCTGAGGGTTCGTGCACCGCTAATTTTGATGGCCGAAGCTGCCAGCAACTAAGAGAGCAGAATGCACCGGGCCTGCATGCCATTCAGCAGCACTGGCATTACCTGGAGCAAAGCGTATGAAGCAATTGTGCCCCCCCCCACCCCCCACCCCAAATCCGAACCCCCTACTCCCAAACCATCAAAAAAAGACACACACACACACACACACAGACCTACACAAACACAAACACACACACACACACACACACAAACAAACACACCTGCACACCTACACACCTACAAACCTGCACACCTACACACCTACACACCTTCACACCTACACACCTGCACACCTGCACACCTGCACACCTGCACACCTGCACACCTACACACCTACACACCTGCACACCTACACACCTACACACCTGCACACCTACACACCTACACACCTGCACACCTGCACACCTGCATACCTTCACACCTACACACCTGCACACCTACACACCTACACACCTTCACACCTACACACCTGCACACCTGCACACCTGCACACCTACACACCTACACACCTGCACACCTACACACCTACACACCTTCACACCTACACACCTGCACACCTGCACACCTGCACACCTGCACACCTGCACACCTACACACCTACACACCTGCACACCTACACACCTACACACCTGCACACCTACACACCTACACACCTGCACACCTGCACACCTACACCTCTGCAAGCAGCAGGCCTCACTGGCAACTCCATGGCCCTTCGGCTGGATGTTGGAAACGATGGCCACGGCAGCCTCCGAGCTTAAACACCTACACCTACGTATGAGCTTAAACACCTACACCTACGTATGATTTAACCCTGAAACCCTGAAAAGTCCCCTAAACCACTAAAGGGTTTAGGGTCTAGGGTGTAGGGGTCTAGGGTTTAGGGTTTAGGCTTTAGGGTTTGCTCAACCCTGGAAAGCCCCTAAAGAACCCTCAGCCCGCCTCCACCAAACACCCCGAACCCGGAACAAGAGGTATGTTCAGGATGTCAGGGGGGGCTTACGGCTTAGGGTCTGGGCTTCAGGGGTCCGAGCTGTATGCTAGGTAACTTGGGCCTTCAGGTTTAGGACTCAGGTTTAATATAGGCGTCGGAATAGTTAGTAATCATATTCCCTAGTGGTCCCTCTGTCAGTATACTAAACGAACCCCCAAAACCTTATTCTAGTTATTAAGGCCCCTATGTTATAGAAGCGGAAGGCTTAAGAGTGTTCGAGGAATCCAGCAGACGAGGCCTTAACGGCTGGAGGGCCGAGCTTGCTGTCCGCGAATAGATCTACCAGCCTGCCCGGGGTTTAGGGTTTTCGTCGGGTTGGGGGTTTAGGGTTCAGGGTGCAAGGGTATAATCGGGTTCATGTTACTTTCGGGTTCATGCAGAAAATACCCAGAAATCTTGCACTGCTGTACAAGGGTCTAGGTTTAGGGTTCAGGACTCGGCAATAAGACCATTTTCTGGGTAGCCTCGGCATTGCTGTTCCTAGCTGTCCAGAGGTTCTCAGAACTTGCTCTAAACCCTACGCCCTAAACCCCAAACCCAAAACCCAAAAACCGAAAACCCTAAATCCTAAACCCTAAACCCTAAACCCTAAACCCTAAACCCCAAACCCTAAACCCTAAACCTCTCGGCTTCGCACGCTGGTAGCTTCGGGAGCACGAAGGGAGTGGCTTGCGCCAGCTTCTCGAGCGTTGCGAGAGCTTGCGCCTTGCCAGTGAGTCGGAGTTCAGGGTTTTGGGCTATAGGGTTTAGGGTTTGGGGCTTAGGGTTTAGGGTTTGGGGCTTAGGGTTTAGGGTTTAGGGTTTAGGATTTAGGGTTTAAGGTTTTGGGGTTTGGGGTTTAGGGTTTGGGGAGTTCAGGGTGTGGGGCCTGGGGACTTCGGGTACGTCCGCGCAGCATGCACGTGACAACACATTGGTGGAAAGACTCGAGCTGAACATGGGCATGTCCCAAAATAGGGGTACCCCTTAAACAGACCCCCAAGAAGAGTAGGTACCCCTTAAATTGAAAGGGACCCCCAAAAAGGGTACCCCCCATTTTTGACACCCCCGTATGGGGGGTTTCCGAAATTCGGGGCACCATATTAGGGTCCTTTTTTCAGGGAGTCCCTACTATTTAGGGGCCTATGGTTGGGGGTCCCCTATTTTCGCAAAAACCCCGTATCGACCTTGAACTAGCTCTCTTGTTGGACACGAAGCTTCCCCGATGGCTTGCAAGCTTCACTCTTGGCAGGCAACTTGCGCTGATGGTTCTTCCATGCCCCTACACTTCAACGGGGCATCGCCGAACAGAACCCCTAAACCCTAAACCCTAAACACGAAACCCTAACCGCCGAACCGCTAGTCGGAATGGCACCTTCGCTCCAGCAGCGTCCTCCGCATGACAAGAGGCTTCAGTCGAAGTGCCAACAGGTGTTCCGCTTGCGCTACGTAGGAGAAAGGGCCTGCCACAACTAGCAAGGCACGGTTTGCTAGCCATAAACCCTTAAACCCTTTAAACCCCTCTAAACCCGGTTACACCCACCAAAACCCATTTAACCCGTGCAAACCCATTTAAATCTGAATCGGTGTCAACCCATGTGAACCCATTAACACCCATTTGGGCTTCCTGTGGCTTAGCGGTCCTTGCCACTGCTGGCGAGCGCCACATCAAGATCGCTCATTGCACCTTCCGAGGCTTCCACTGCCTCTGCACTGGCCTCAGGTGGCCGCTCAAGCATGGCAGCCCTGAACCCCCAAGATGATTTTTTCAAAGAGAGTAGCAAGGTGAACTTTAAGAGGGATCCTTTTTTTAAAGACCATCGCGTAGTTAAGGCTCACACCAGCTCAAGACCCCAAAATCACGCACCTCCGGGTGCTCAACCTGTGCGACATGTTGCCCTAAACCCTAAACCCTAAACCCTAAACCCTAAACCCTAAACCCTAAGCCTAAACCCTAAACCCTACACCCTACACCCTACACCCTAAACCCTAAACCCTAAACCGTAAACCGTAAACCCTAAACCCTAAACCTTAAACTTAAACCCTAAACCCTAAACCGACAACCTGAGATGAGAGCTGCGGTGGGCTTGTCCGACTTGGGAGCAGCCGCCTGCGCCTCTGCGGAGACAGACCCCTCCAAAGGCTTAGGGACCCCAATCTATAATCGTCAGCTCCCCGTCGAAGAGCCCGAGACCCTATATAAATAGCTGCGTAGGTAGCTAGAGAATTAGCAGCCGAAGATGCCTGGCCCTAAACCCTAAACCTCGCTATTTCGCAAAAACTCGGGAGCCCAGGAAACATACAGCAACCACAGAGATAGGCTTGCAAAGGAGCTTGTTTAAGTCAAGGAGCCCAGAAACCAAGAATCGTCCAAAGGGAGCAAGCGAAAGTAGGGTGTCGGGATAATTCCTAATAGTATTCCCTTAGGGTCCCTTTCTTAACCATATCCTAAAACCCCCCATAACCATATTCTAATTATTCAGCCCTATAGTAGCCCTAAATTCTAAACCCTAAACCCTAAACCCTAAACCCTAAACCCTAAAGGCATTATAAACTGGGCCTTGGCGTCCGTCTTTGCCGACAGCGCCGTACGCTCGGCCTCGCCTGGGTCTCGTCTTCCGCGGGGCGCTATCGTAACTCGGTCCCTGGGGTCCTTTATGCTGCTTGGGGTTTAGGGTTTAGGGTTTAGGGTTTAGGGTTTAGGGTTTAGGGTTTAGGGTTTAGGGTTTAGGGTTTAGGGTTTAGGGTTTAGGGTTTAGGGTGCAGGGCTTTGGGTTGAGGGTTTAGGGTGCAGGGCTTTGGGTTGAGGGTTTGGGCCTCTTGGTGTAGAGAGGTTGCGGGTTGAGGGTTTACCGTCTCTGGGACACCTCTTTGTGCCACTTGTGCAGCATACTTCAGCAGAAGCTGAGCTGCGCTACTCCTGGTTCAAAACTAAGCACGGTATTGTCTGACAAAAACTATCATTGTTTGCCATTAACAGCACAAAAAATGTGCTTTGTGTAGCATCAATACTATACCTGCTAGAAAGATTCTTCGTTCTGCATTTGCACCCCAAAAAACTCCAGAACCTGCAATTCGAATTCCTGGGCCCCCTTTCTGAGGCCTCAATACTGGTTTAGGGTTTAGGGTTTAGGGTTTAGGGTTTAGGGTTAGGGTTTAGGGTTTAGGGTTTAGGGTTTAGGGTTTAGGGTTTAGGGTTTAGGGTTTAGGGTTTAGGGTTTAGGGTTTAGGGTTTAGGGTTTAGGGTTTAGGGTTTAGGGTTTAGGGTTTAGGGTTTAGGGTTTAGGGTTAGGTTTAGGGTTTAGGGTTTAGGGTTTAGGGTTTAGGGTTTAGGGTTTAGGGTTTAGGGTTTAGGGTTTAGGGTTTAGGGTTTAGGGTTTAGGGTTTAGGGTTTAGGGTTTAGGGTTTAGGGTCTCAGCTTCCCGGCGCTTTGCTTGCATCTCATGCTCCTTTATCTCCTGCAGGTCAAGAGTTTAGGGTTTAGGGTTTAGGGTTTAGGGTTTAGGGTTTAGGGTTTAGGGTTTAGGGTTTAGGGTTTTTACGACTAAGCCGTTCTTCCTCCTGTCGACAGTTCTCAGAATGGGCACACGCAATTATCGCACAAAGAGGATTGACGTCAAACATTCCCAGCAATTCAATGGGCGCCGGATTCTCTGGTGGAGGAACCACGGAGCAGTCTCAGAAACAGTCCCTCTTTTTCCTGTGAGATGCAACCCTAAACCCCTAATATAGGGGTCGGAACAATTACTGTAATGGTATTCCCTCAGGGTCCCTTTATGAATATACCATAATAACACGCCAAACCCTTTTCCAATTATTCAGGAGGGTTTAGGGTGTAGTCGGTAAGATCTCCGACTGTCCTCTTTCACTTTGAGGTAGAGCTCATCGGTCTGCAGCTTCTTCAGCGCAGTTTCCAGGTCCTGCCGAGACCCTGATCCCCCTGGCGCGGGACTCTTGACGACAAGTCCGAATTGCTGTTCGGATTGTGGTCAGGAATCCCCTGAACCCTAAACCCTAAACCTTAAACCCTAAACCGTGAGCCCTAAGCCCTAAACCCTAAACCCTAGGCCCTAAACATCTCTTCTCTCCTCCGACATTCCACCTCGAACCTTCCTTCCTCCCTCCCCCCCCCCCCCCCGGCCTTCTTTGCTTTCTTGTTTGCCTCAGCTTCCACCTGCGATCTCCGGCGCAAAGAAATAGGGTTTAGGGTTTAGGGTTTAGGGTTTGGGGTTTGGGGTTTGGGGTTTGGGGTTTGGGGTTTGGGGTTTAGGGTTTAGGGTTTAGGGTTTAGGGTTCTGCAGTCCAACGACTTAGTGGGCTAATGCTTGGAGGGGGTGGGAGGGGCAGGGTTCGAGCCCCGAGAGAGCGGCCTACACACACACATACAACAACCCCCAAAAACCCAGTGCATACACAAAAACCAACACAAACCCCCCCAACAAAAAAACTGCACGAAAGGCCAACCAAGTTCATGAGTACTTACAACCAAAGTTATAAGTCTGCCTCTAACCTACTTAAGGGACTTAGGGGGCGTATAAGTACAGTTCCAACTGGGGTTGTCTACTTATAACTTGTACACTTAAGGGACTTAGGGGGGGCGTATGGGTACAGTTACAATTGGGGTTGCAAGTACCCATGAACCTCCCAGTGGCGTAGGCTGAATGCAAGGAGCCGCTCCCTCTCAAGGCCACAGCGCCCGTCGCCGAAGCAAGCAACATCGGACGCGCCTCGCACTCTTTGTCGTCGATTTTGTGGTCCCACATCTTTATAAACTTCTTCTTGTCCTCGCGGTATGCTGGGGCGCCATAGGGCCCTAAACCCTAAACCCTAAACCCTCAACCCTAAACCCTAAACCCTAAACCCTAAACTCTGCCGATAGTGTCGGTGCCTCAAGGGTGGTCAGCTTCGGCGCGGGCGCGGCCTTCGACTTCGCCACCACCTTTTTCCAGGGCTTGGGGGGTTGAGGGTTTGAGGCTTCGGGGTTTTGGGAGTTTGGGGGGGGTAAACCCTAAACCCTAAACCCTAAACCTTAAACCCTAAACCCTAAACCCTAAGCCCCAGGTCTCGGGGTTTCGGGCTGAGGGTTTGGGGCTTTGGTGCTTCTCCGCGCTCTTGAGTTCCGACGCTGCTATCTTTGCTTGAGTTTGCCTTGCGGCCTGCAACCCCAAACCCTAACCCCTAACCCCTAACCCCTAACCCCTAAACCCTAAACCCTAAAGCCGACACAAACAGTCCTCAATGCTCTGAGGGCCCCTGCAGAAGGCGCTTTGGCCTTGGCAGCTGCCGGCTTGGGTGCCTGGGCTTCACTCAAACTGGTGGTTGGGATGTGGGGCTTGAGGGGTTTCGGGGGATTGGGGTTTAGGAGTTTAGGGTTTTTAAGGGGTCTAGGGGTATAGGGTTTAGGGTTTAGGGTTTAGGGGTATAGGGGTTAGGGTTTAGGGGGTTGGGGGTTTAGGATTGCTTCGGGTGCGGGTGCAAACGAGGATGAAGGTTGACTCACAAAGACGCCAGGCCCCGAAACCCGAAGCCACAGAGTTCCAATCCAGAGCTCTAAAACCCTTAGCCCACCCAAAACTGCACACCAAAGCCTAAAAGCCCGAACCCCTAAGCCCTGCCCCCCTATCCCCCGCAAAGCCCTAAACCCTAAACCCTAAACCCTAAACCCTAAAAACCCTAAACCCTAAACCCTAAACCCCGCTTCACCCAAGAAAAGGCTGCAGATGCCGGGATACCGCCCCAGCGGCTCCGGCGGCCTTTTTTGCGGCGGCTTCGAACCTTCGGAAGCTGCTGCCGGGTCGAAGATGAGGGGCTTTTAGGGTTTAGGGTTTAGGGTTTAGGGTTTGGGGTTTGGGATTTAGGGCTTAGGGTTTATGGCTTAGGGCTTAGGGTCGAAAATGAGGGCTTTGAGGGCTTTTAGTGTCGGGGTTTGGGGCGTTGGGGGGTTGTCCGGGTTTTCGGGCAGTTTTCGGGAAGTTTTCTGGGTTTTCGGGATTTTCGGGGTTTCGGGGTTTTCGCGTTTTGGGTTTCTCGGCTTGGGTATTTCGAGACCGGCTCCTGGCACAAAACCCTAAACCCTAAACCCTAAACCCTAAACCCCTAAACCCCTAAACCCCTAAACCCCTAAACCCCTAAACCCCTAAACTCCTAAACCCCTAAACCCCTAAACCCTCAACACCCCATCCTTCAGTTGGAGAGAAGGGCATGACTCAAGAGGCAGCACTGTTGCCAAAGGAGGCCCCACACACGTTTAGAGTATTGCCTTGGAGTGGGTTTAGGGTTTAGGGTTTAGGGTTTAGGGTTTAGGGTTTAGGGTTTAGGGGTTAGGGTTTAGGGTGTAGTTGGCTCATGTTCTACACACTTGCCTTGGAAACAACTGCGAGCCGCTTGAGAGGCCCATGCCGTACGTCTGACGAAGTTGGTGAACAGAAAGGGCATGCACTTGTCTCAGAACCCGTGAGCCCTCAACCCCTAAATCCTAAACCCTGAACCCTCAACCCCCAGACGCTACTGGCCCTAAGCGCAGCAGTTCGAAGGAGACGCCTCGACATGCCTGCAGGTGCCAGGAGAGGCTCCTGAATTAGGGTTACGGGCTTTAGGGCTCATGGGGTGTAAAGGGTGTTTAAGAGGCTTGCAGGGCGTATTGCAGCCTTGGGCTTTGGGGCTTCTAGGGCTTAGGGCAAGCTTGAAATGAGGTCCGAATCGAATTTTGCAATGAGACTTGCATGTCCCCGCGCTATGTATAGGCATGTTACTCAGATTTGGAGAAAACGTGATCAACTAGTTCTGATCTCGGGGCCTCCCCTATACCCCTGTGATTAACCGAACTACACAAATGTCCCGGTTATGACTTCGTGTCGGGGTTCACCCCGCGTAGGACCCACAAAAACTTTTTGGGACCTTGCCGCAGCCTCCCAACTGACCTCCAGAAGCAACTTGGGCCACTTAGAGACCCGACACCCTGTATCAAATCTCTAGAAGGTCGCAAGTGCGTGCAAATTCTCTGCCGCGCGTCTTGCTCGGATTTTCTGCAGTGTTGATAAAGTTTTCGACAAGGCCCGGTTGCGGAGGGGAAAACTGGGACAGGTAGTTTTAGAGGCGAAGTTGCGTGCTAGGACTGAAGAATGTCACAATGCGAAAAACGAACAAAATGGCCGCCCAAAGCTTGGGTTAAGTCTCCCCCCCCACATCAGAAAAGGTACAAGTGATGCTGTGGGTAGCTTGGCCTTTGCGCACGGGCACAGGGGTTTGGAAACTGAGGGCTTGGTCCCAATTGAGATAGCGTTTAGGGTTCAGGGTTGTTTAGGTCTATTTTGGTTAGGCTTGAGGGTTTGGGGTTTAGGGTTTTGGGGTTTGGGGTTTTGGAAATGGGGTTGAGGCCTTCCTCTTAACTGTCAGCCAAAGCGAAAATATGAAAAACATCCCGGCACCTAACTTGGCTCACGTGGCTGCATCCTGTGGACACTGTTCCACGCTCTTCTCCTGCGAAAACGCCTGGGCAGTGCAGGGGGCGAGTGCTCCTGCGGTTTTCTGTGGGGAGCCATGGGATGTTCCTCCCTTCTACTAAGAGTCCTCAATAGAGATTAATTATAGTACCCCCCCCCCTATTATGATCCTTACAGTCCTCAATAGGGATTAATGATAGTACCCCCCCCCCCCCTATTATGATCCTTACTAAGGACTGTTAGTATAAGGGGGAGCATCCCAAGCACCTCGCCTCAGCACGCGTGCACAATGACTCTCCGTAGACAGATCGGCAAGCTTCACTAAGGCCACGGCACCCTGCAGGTGCCCCCAAAATCGGCAAAAGTGCGAAGGTTGTTTGCTGTTTAACTTCGATGGTTGGGAGATGTGCTAAGGTGAGGTGAGGCTAAAAGGTCGAAGGATGCTTCCATCTGCTTAGTCTTATGCTTCTCCACGAACCAGGGATTGCGATTTCTTAAATGTTAAGCTCTGTTTGTCACACACAAATGACAAAGTCAGGCAGAATCCTTGAGTTTAAAGCTCAAAGCATCGGCTAGGTAGGTAGTAGGATGCAAACAGGGCCCGGCTGCCCCCACGCTGCAGCTGTTGGCGGCGGATGCGCAGCAGAAATGGAAGTGCCACACCCTAAAACCCTAAAACCCTATAGCCCTAAAACCCTAAAACCCTAAAACCCTAAAACCCTAAAAACCTAAAAACCTAAAACCCTAAAGCCCTAAAACCCTAAAACCTAAAACCCTAAAAGCCTAAAAGCCTAAAACCCTAAAACCCTAAAACCCTAAAATTCCAGGACCCGAAAGCCCTAAAGCCCTAAAGCCCAGAAGAAACGGCACGGGAAACCTGGCATCGAAATCTACGCCGAATCTGGCTCTTCCAACTTTTAAGCTCACAAGGCCTGGTTAGAAACCCAGGGCCCTAAACCCTAAACCCTAAACCCTAAACCCTAAACCCCAAACCCTAAACCCCAAACCCTAAACCCTAAATCCTAATGAGGCTCGAGAGTCCCGCACTCTCCTCATAGATAGCAACCGCACCCTGTATGAGCTACATCGAAACGAGGCCGAATCCTCGACCCGGAAACGCTTCGAACTCGGGGGTCTCGGTAGACCCAAGGCCCCTGGCCCCTGGTATCAACAATCTGTTGTCAGCTTAGGCTGGCTGCACATCTAGACACATAAGCCACCCCTGAATTGCCTGCTGGCAAACCTCAACTTCCCCAGCTTAAACCACAAAAAGGCCCAAAGCCCTCGAGTCCCGGACCCCTCAACCACACATCTCTAAACCCTAAGCCCTATATAAACCCTAGCAATTCCTAGAATCCCCAAACGCTATAACCCATGGAATCACGAACCCTAAACCCGATAATCACCGCAGAATCCTCGCCTTCTTATGCAGGGCCTGGAGGAACATGCGCAGGGTGCGCCCGACGGCTAGGTGGACTGGCCCACAGCACGGCTTCCGAAAGCGGAATGGGCATTCATCTACCGCTTCTTCGCTCAGGCTTACGGTTTCGGATTTGGGGTTTAGGGTGTAGGGTTTGGGGTTTGGGATTTGGGGGTTGGGGTTGAGGGTGTGAGGAGGAAAGCAGGACAGGACTAACATGCCTTCGTGGAAGTTCCGTGATGGCACTGCGGGCGAAAGGACGTGCGCTTAGCAAACGCCCTTGCGTAACGCAGCGTCCGCAGCGTATCCAGCTCTGAACTTCCTGTTGCACTGCCCGGATGACTCCGTGCGAATGCATTTTTATTGTTCGATTGTTTCATCGAAGAGGAAAGGAATGATCTTCGTCTCCTGTCTGTTTCACATCCCGCCCAGCCATGTTCTAAACCAGCCAAAGCCCACATGCCCAAAGCGACTTGCATCTGAGCCCGAAAGCTCTCAAGCCGATGTGACCATTTCCAGGCAGTAGCTCACTACAAATCTGGAGATGTTCCTGCCCTAAACCCTAAACCCTAAACCCTAAACCCTAAACACAGGATGCACAAGTCGTTAACTTGTGGGTAGGTCTCCGCATGTCTTGATTGGTACAGTGCATGATCCCTTGGAGGTGCTTTTGCGATTCAGGCCTGATACCCCTGAAGCCCTAAACGTCGAAACGTTGAACCTAGATCCCCCCTAAACCCTAAACCCTAAACCCTAAACCCTAAACCCTAAACCCTAAACCCCAAACCCTAAACCCTAAACCCTGCATGGCAGGCGAACTCTTGCAGGCACCTGCTCTTTGCAGGACTGGCGTCCGCACCTGCCCCAATCGCCAAAGGTTTTGGGGGGGTTTAGGGTTTAGGGTTAGGGTTTAGGGTGGTTTAGACTAAACCCTAAACCCTAAACCCTAAATCCTCAACCCTAAACCCTAAACCCTAAGCGACCTTGAGGTTGCGACTCTGGCTTCTGAGCTTCTGCGGTTTGAGGCCCGCAGCTACCGTGAACAAAAGGCGATTCGAAGAACCTCCAGCCAAGCTTGCCCTAAACCCTAAACCCTAAACCCTAAACCCTAAACCCTAAACCCTAAACCCCATGTTGCAGCTTTGATTGCACCGGCCTGGGGATCAAAGTGGGAGACCATGTGCACCTGAAGATGCTGAGGTCCAAGGGGTGGCCGGTTTCTGAAAGTATGGTCCCTTTTGGGGTTTAGGGTTTAGGGTTTAGGGTTTAGGGTTTAGGGTTTAGGGTTTAGGGTTTAGGGTTTAGGGTTTAGGGTTTAGGGTTTAGGGCTCAGGGTTTAGGGGAACACTTTAGAAAGCTATCAGGAGGGGGGCCCAAAACTGATCACGCAGACGTCGCCACAGATTTCTGCTCCAGCTGCAGAGGTCCTTTTCCAGCGCAACCCTAAACCTTAAGTGGACCTTGAGACTATTTCCCAATTCAAAAGCCTAAGACCCTAAGACCTAATCCCTGAAAGTTGAACTCTACAATCTGGACCCAACCCTATACAACCCTATACAACCCTACTCAGGACACCATCCTGGGGGCTAGCACCAAACAAAACCTAAACCCATACCAGGTTCCGGGCGCGTGTGCCATTTGTATCGTCGGGAGCGAGCATTAACCTCAGATGTCCACTGGGCTCAGGGTTTAGGGTTTAGAATTTGGGGTTTAGGCTTAGGGCTTAGGATTTTAGGGTTTAGGGTTTAGGATTTGGGGTTTAGGCTTAGGGCTTAGGGCCTTTATATGATGAGACTTGTTGGCGTCGGGGTCTCGTTTCTTTGGTGTTTTTTTGGGAGGGAACACTAAACCCTAAACCCTAAACCCTAACCCTAAACCCTAAACCCTAAACCCTAAACCCTAAACCCTAAACCCCAGGGGGGGGGGGCTCACCATGTGATGCACACGCTGCGAACTGCCCATTCTCGCATAGGGAGAGCTAATAAGTACTGGGGTTTAGGGTTTAGAGTTTAGGGTTTAGGGTTTAGGAGGGTTTAGGGTTTAGGGATTCTTTATCAAAAGAGTGCCCCTGCGAAACAAATTCAAAAGGGCCCGGACGTAGAACATCACATGGCGCAGCTGATCGAAAACTGAAACCAAGGCTTCAGGGCTTAGGGCTTAGGGCTTAGGGCTTAGGGCTTAGGGCTTAAGGGATTAGGGTTTAGGGGTTTAGGGGATTAGGGTTTAGGGGTTTCGGGGGGTTTAGGGTTTAGGGTTTAGGGTTTAGGGTTTAGGGTTTAGGGTTTAGGGTTTAGGGTTTAGGGTTTAGGGTTTAGGGTTTAGGCCAAGGGGCGCTGTCAGGCACACATTCTGCGGCTTGTTCACACCAGCGGTCTCGGCTATGGCCTGAGGCGTGTTTGGGGTTTAGGGTTTAGGGTTTGGGGTTTGGGTTTGGGGTTTAGAGTTTAGGATTTAAAATCTAAGATTTATGGTTCAGGGTAGAGGGCGGCCAGATGTGGGGAAGTGGGCCTCGGCGCCAATCGAGGTGGCCAGCGAGAAGCCGCGGCTCGCCTTGCAGTCGAAGCCTTGGCACAAGATGGTTGGGCTTGATCTAGATGATGGACCTTGTGGAGTTTAGGGTTTAGGGTTTAGGGTTTAGGGTTCAGGGTTTAGGGTTTAGGGTTTAGGGTTTAGGGTTTAGGGCTTAGGGTTTAGGGTTTAGGATGTAGGAATGTAGGAACTCCAGTGTAGCATGTTTCTTTTGCCTTAGGGCCAACACAACACCCAGCAGTTTTCGGGGCCGTCTGTTCCCCCCTACCAAGCAACTCACTTTGCGTGGGCGAGAGAAAGCAGTCCGGGGATGGTAAGGCCTAAACCCTAAACCCTAAACCCTAAGCCCTAAACCCTAAACCCTAAACCCTAAACCCGTTGGCACGATGCCGGCCAAGCAGATCTAAGCAGAGCCATCACTGTAGCTTACACCTTCAGGCACCTGTGATAAGCCTACGATCTCTTGAACACCTGTGCACCGGTCTTTGGGGAATTTGCGTCAAAATCCCATGTCTGGGCCGACGGCGGGCGGCGATGAAGTCCGAAGTGAAACGTCGCCCCACCGCTCTCTGTATCTCAGTGGCTTCTGGGCTGGAAGGCCAAGAGGAGTTCATACGCCAGCAGCTGTTGCAAACAGCGGCATGTTCACAGGTGCAAGAAAGGCAAAGTAATGCATCAAGGCCCTAGGCTACTGGTGCTTCGCAAGATTTTTTCTATGAAGTTTTTTCAAGGAGCACTGTTCGACCCAATTTAGCAGGTGCCTCCTCGATAAAGTCAAGTTTGCCGGGCTGTTCAGGACCGTGCGACTGTTTGGGGGTGCCCGGTGGATCCGCTAGTATGTCAAGTCTTCCGGGTGTCGTAAGAATATTTCGTGCGGCGCGCCTTTGAAATCAACTGCTGGGCCTCTCCGTCCCACTTAAACTCATAGAAGTTCATCCCTCTAAAACCACAAAAATTCCCGGGACCGTGGTCTACTAGTTGCTTAAGAATCCCAAAAAACACAAACATGTTCTTCCTTACAAGGGGAAGATAGGGATTATTATTTATACTCTTTTCTAAACCCTAAACCCTAAACCCTAAACCCTAAACCCTAAACCCTAAACCCTAAACCCTAAACCCTAAACCCTAAACCCTAAACCGTGGTAAAGAAGAACACATCAGCTTCGATAAACAACTCCACTCAGCCACGCGCGATTCGTGGAAGAGGCATCTCGGCCACCTGCGTTCCACCCCATTTTTAGGGGTTTAGGGTTTAGGGTTCAGGGTTCAGGGTTCAGGGTTCAGGGTTTAGGGTTTAGGGTTCAGGGTTCAGGGTTCAGGGTTTAGGGTTTAGGGTTTAGGGTTTAGGGTTTAGGGTTTCAGTCTGGATCGCAGGATCGTGGTAAGTCCTGCCCAAAGTACCTCTCACATGTGTTTCTTATTCTAGGCACCTGGCTAGGCTCGCCAGCTTTCTGACTACCTTGGTAGCCCGGTATCCATATCAAAATAAGGGCATCCTGTTGGGATGGTGACTTTATAAATTGAACCAAAAAGAGGGTAAAGGGTACGACTGGGCTACCAGGCCACTGGGCTACCCACTGGGCTACCAGGCTACAAAAACGGAATCGGTCGGTCCGCAAAGCGCAAATCCAAAGTGGATCATGCAAGAGTTGGGGGGTTTCCGAAATTAGGGGTACCTTATTTGGATCCTTATTCTTTGGGAATTCCACTATTTGGAGTCTACACTAGGGGTACCTTGTTGGGGTCCTTTTTTTAAGGGGAATTCCACCATTGGGGTTCTCGAAAACTCCCAGTTGGTTCGAGGTCCCACCTGTGCTGCGACATCAATGGAGTCCCGCCTTGATGGCAGGTTTCGGCACGAAAGCCCTGTATGGGTTTAGGGTTTAGGGTTTAGGGTTTAGGGTTTAGGATTTAGGGTTTAGGGTTTAGGGTTTAGGGTTTAGGGTTTAGGGTTTAGGGTTTAGGGTTTAGGGTTTAGGGTTTAGGGCTTAGGGCTTAGGGCTTGGGGCTTAGGGTTTAGGGTTTAGGGTTTAGGGTTTATATGCACCCGCGTTCCGCGTAATCGACCCCCCCCCCCACCCCAATGGTATCCCCCCCATGGTATCCTGCCTGTTAACCCTGAAAACAACACGGACCCTGGAAGGGGGACAGAGAAACCTCAGCCTAAAGCCCAAACCCTGAACTCTAAGCCCTTAAACCTAAACCCACCAATGAACGACAGGAGGGAGAAGGGCAAACCCGAAACCTTAGCCGCATTAACCCTGAACCCTGAACCGTAAACGCAGCAAGAACCACAGGGGGGAGAGGGGAAACCGTAAACCTACCATTACCCCAAACCTTGAACCCTAATTAAACCCACAGTGAACCAATGGACCAGAGTGAAAATCCTGAACCCTACAGCCTAACCCTAAACCCCTAAACCCTAAACCCATGGACCACAGACCATGAACCACAGGGGGGAGGGGGGGGGGGGGGGGGGGGGGGGGGGGGGGGGAACCCAAAACCCACCATGAACCACTTAAAGGGTATATATGGGGCCCTAATTCCCTCATTTCCTACGGAGACCCAGAGGGAGAAGCGCAGCTCTCGGAGTCCCGCATGTCCCGGGCCAAGCTGCGATAGCCCCCCTTCACCTGCATCTCCTTCCAAGGAAGCTTCAGAAAGCTTAGGTTTAGGGTTTAGGGTTTAGGGTTTAGGGTTTCAGGGTTTCAGGGTTCAGGGTTCAGGGTTAAGGGTTAAGGGTTAAGGGTTAAGGGTTTTGGGTTTAGGGTTTAGGGTTTAGGGTTTAGGGTTTAGGGTTTAGGGTTTAGGGTTTAGGCACACCCGAAACCCTCAAGCATGACATCCCAGTCTTAGACTAAGCGGTTCAGCACCTGGCGCTACAAAGTGATATCCGAAGTCTCCCCAAGCCAAGAACACATGATCCTTCATTGCGCCAAGTTTCACATAAGCCACCCTGAACCCCCTAAACCCTAAACCCTAAACCCAAAGCCCAAAGCCCAAAGCCCTAAGCCCTAAGCCCTAAGCCCTAAACCCTAAGCCCTAAGCCCCCTAAGCCCCCTAAGCCCCCTAAGCCCCCTAAGCCCTAAACCCTCTTGTTTTTGAATCGATGCTCCCCCCCCCCCCCCAAGCCTGTGGAGAGAAGTAGCTCTTGAGGCTGGCTTCGAGGGGAACCCGCCGATGTCGCCGGAAGGTCACCTCGATAAGCCAACTCGATCACATGGGTTTCCCTGCGGGTTTAGGGTTCAGGTTTTAGGGTTTGGGGTTTAGGGTCTATAGGCTGAGGGTTTAGGGTTTCCAGACCCTCAACCGATTCTTGGACCCTCTCCTCAACCCCCTCAACCCCCTCAACCCCCTCAACCCCCTCAACCCCCTCAACCCCCTCAACCCCCTCAACCTCCTCAACCTCTTCAACCCTCAACCCTAAGCCCTAAGCCCTAAACCCTTAAACCCTTAACTCCTAAACCCTAAACCCTAAACCCTCAACCCTCTCATCCTTCCACCCAACCCAGAGAGCCTCGTGGAGTGATGGGTTCCAGTGCCGGTAATCCGGGTTCGTAAGCGCCTCCCCGCTGGCTTCGGGATGGCTTGAAGGGGTACTAGGGTTTGGGGTTTTGGGTTTAGGGTTTCGGGCTGAGTAGGGTTTCGTACGGGGGTTTTAGGGGGGTGAGAGCCTTGGATGCATGGAATGGAGTCCAGGGGGCTTAGGAGGCTTAGACGCCTAGAGCTTGGGAACCCAAGATGGGGGTTTAGGCTTTAGAGTTTAGGGCTTCGGCCGATACATAGGGATAGGAAGAAAAGCAGTCCAAGAGCCTATCGATTATCAGAGGCAGTGCGCCGGTGCCTCCATGACATACATGGCTTCCACGCCGGGAAGGACGGCTTCCACGTGCATAACGTCCTTGCGATCGCCATGAAGCAGCAACTTGCATGCACAAGCAAGCAAACCAGGAAATCTATTGCAGCAAAGAGCTCCCCCCGTGTTGAGGTAACTCTGAGAGGCATGCGACATGTCGGAATGAGAGACAGAGGTACGTATACCCGAAAACGCAGGTTTCAGCCAGCTTCTACCAGCCCCCCAGCCCCCCCCCCCCCTGCCCTCTCAACATTTACATCTCTCAACCAAGTCGTACGGCTAGAAGTAGTTGTGGCCGTCGTCTCCTCGTCGTCGTCGTCGTCGTCGTGATCGTGGTGGTCGTCCCTCGTCCCTCGTCCCTCGTCCCTCGTCCCTCGTCCCTCGTCCCTCGTCCCTCGTCCCTCGTCCCTCGTCCCTCGTCCCTCGTCCCTCGTCCCTCGTCCCTCGTCCCTCGTCCCTCGTCCCTCGTCCCTCGTCCCTCGTCGTCGTCGTCGTCGTCGTCGTCGTCGTCGTCGTCGTCGTCGTCGTCGTCGTCGTCGTCGTCGTCGTCGTCGTCGTCGTCGTCGTCGTGATCGTGGTGGTCGTCGTCGGTGGTGGGGGTCGTGGTCGTCGTCGTGGCGCAGTCGTGGTCGTCGTCGTAGTCGTCATAGTCATAGTCGTCGTCGTTGTTGCTCTTGTTTTTTCTGTAGCTGCAGCAGCAGCGGCAGCAGGGGCAGCGGCGGCGGCGGCAGCGGCAGCGGCAGTAGTCGTCGTCGTCGTCGTCGTCGTCGTCGTCGTCGTCGTCGTCGTCGTCGTCGTCGTCGTCGTCGTCGTCGTCGTCGTCGTCGTCGTCGTCGTCGTGCGTCGTCGTCGTCGTCGTCGTCGTCGTCGTCGTCGTCGTCGTCGTCGTCGTCGTCGTCGTCGTCGTCGTCGTCGTCGTGCGTCGTCGTCGTCGTCGTCGTCGTCGTCGTCGTCGTCGTCGTCGTCGTCGTCGTCGTCGTCGTCGTCGTCGTCGTCGTCCTCGTCGTCGTCGTCGTCGTCGTCGTCGTCCTCGTCGTCGTCGTCGTCGTCTTCGTCTTCGTCTTCGTCTTCGCATTCGTGGTCCGATCAAGAAAACTACAAAAAGTAACAACAACAATGCTTTATCACAAACAACATGGCTGAGGCATGCGCCCGAACACCGCCACAGGCATCTAACTTGGATGTCCGCGAGAAGTACCTCCCAGGAAGGGGAGCTTCGGGCCGGGCAGCAAAGCCTCAACCTGATTTGTATTTATATTAATTGTTATTATTCTTTCTGATTTTTTTTTTTTGGCCGGGGGGGTTGGGTTTTCGGGTTGCGGCTTTGAATCTGCGCTGAACAACCAAAGTTGGCGGCCCTTGCTACCCCAGGGCCCCTAAACCCTAAACCCTAAACCCTAAACCCTGGTGCCTTGAGACACTCACCAGGCTCTGCTGGTCTGGGTCCGCGTCGAGCCTGGCGCAGAGTGCCGAAAAATCAGATCAGAACCTCCAACCCACTCAACAGCTCGTTGCGGCCTGGCAGGCAAAACAGTAACCCTAAACCCTAAACCCTAAACCCTACACCCTAAACCCTAAGCCCTAGGAATCATGCGAATGAAACTAGTGAAAGAAAAAGAATGATCTACAACCCGAAGACCCTGTAGCTGTTGCTTCTGAGGGCAGCTGCTGCAGGGATACTTAGTCCGAAGACAGCGCCGAGCCCTAACCCATAGAGTCTAGATATAAGGTTTACTTATAGACCGTACCTCCTAATCCTAAATCCCGAAGATGCATATCCCGGCCTCACCGAGTCTCGCGGGACAAAGGTCCCATCTTGCTCGGACCACCCAGCATCATCCAGGTACTGGCAAGCAACAGGGTTTAGGGTTTTCGTGTGGGGGTTGAAGTGTTTGGGGTCTAGGGGTTGAAGTGTTCAGGGCGCAGGGGTTGAAGTGTTTGGAGCTATTTTTACTCTTAGAACTTTTAGAAGCTTCTATGTTTTGGGCTTTGAGTGTTTAGGTTTGAGGCCTTAGGGCTTTAAGTGCTTATAGGTTTCTAAACGACTGTCTCTCTCCATGCAACTCCCAAGCCTCCCTCGTGTCCATGAACATGCGCAAAAGGCTTCCCACCTGGGCACATGAACTTGAAAGAGCTTAGGGTATAGGGTTTAGGGTTAGGAACCCTAAGGGTTAGGAATCCTAAGGGTTAGGAACCCTAAGGGTTAGGAACCCCCTAAGGGTTAGGGACCCCCTAAGGGTTCGGAACCCTAAGGGTTAGGAGCCCTAAAGGTCCATGCACCGAAATCGAATGTAACTTGGGCCCCCAAAGTATTTAAGTTCTACATTTTAAAGGACATTAAGAGCCAGAGTAGTTGTTGATGTACATGGACCCGGACCCTTCGGGGAAGGGCGCAGAGAAAAGCTGAGCTAAGCTGGGCCTCGCGCTGACAACGTGTCTGGATCAAAGCGATCACTGTAGTCATTGGTGGTTCGGTACGCCACCTGGGCAGACTCTGCTCAGAACTACCGATTTCAGAGCACAAGGACATCAATGTGCGGCCTTTCATGCTCAACAAGCAATTCTTAAAGAGAGCGTAACAGTAAGAACGAAAGCCTACGAACACTAAACCCTAAACCCTAGAACCGATAGCCCCGTGGCTGCTACATCTGTGGCCGCTGAGCCCTAAGAGGCAACAAGGTTCGCGCACTTGCGATCGCAGCAATTCCGGCACCCAGCCTTAGGAAAAAGCGAAGTTTAGGGTTTAGGGTTTGGGGTTTAGGATTTAGGGTTTAAGGTATAGGGTTTAGGGTAGAATTGCCAGCCTGCTTCGGGCTTCGGTTGAGAATTGGGGTTTAGGGTGGTGAATAAGGGCTTGTGCCCTCGGCCGTACAGTGACGTAGAAACTGTGACACTCAATGGGCGACTAGCTGTCGAGGCCCGTTTCCAGACGCTCGTGTTGATTGAATAGCCTGAACGAGCATTTCCCAAGATAGGGATGCCCCTTATATATACATATACACACATTGATTTTTCATTGATTTAACTATTTACTTTTTTTTATAGGAATTAAAAACACAAAACCCCACGCCCTGAAAACGGTTGCCGAATTTTCGGAACACCCCTCCCACCCCCCACCCCATCAATCGACACAGTAAAGGCAGGTCCGAAAGGACTACTGGGATCGATTGGCACGAGGCCGTTGGCTCTAATAGTATGACGATTATGAATGAGTATTTGCTATTGTGAACTAGTATTTATGAGTGGGTATGGCTACGTGTTGTTTTGTTTGTTTTGTGCCCTTACTGGTTGTGCTATATCAGTATGAGTACTGTGCTTGTTCAAAACTAGTTCTTTCCTATGCTTGACTCGTGCTTATTCTTATGACATTTTACTCAGATTTTCTTTCTCGTTCTTAATCACAAGTTACTATTTGTTATTTATCGTGAATGGTAAGTTCTTAGTCATTAGCTAGTAGTTGCTAGTTATTAGACAATAGTGATTAACTATTGGTCATGAGACACTGATTGTGTCGTGCTCGTTGGTATTCACTGTTGTGCATTGTTGGTCGTCGGCTACTGTTGAATGTTGACTGGTTTCTGTTAATTTGTGAAAAGTTTGTTACCTATTCATGATCATTTGCTAATACTCAGGATGGCACTTAAAACCCTCTGAAAAATGTTCCTGTGTCTGATCCTCTTAAACCCAATAAGGGAAAATATACATGTCCCAGGGGCCTACCTAGTAATATTCCTGATCCCATTAATTATTTACGCAGCGGGGCCCAGTCTGGTTTGATTTGCATTTTGCTGCGGGTGCCTCCCCCAGACTCAACCAGGGCCCTCTTTTTGAAGAAGGGGAGATGGGGCGCATCTAAAGCACCGAAGCACCCCTGAACTCACACCCTAACCCCTGAACCCCTAAACCCCAAACCCTAACCCCTGAACCCTAGACCCGAAACCCTGAACCCCAAGCCCAGGCCCTGACGCAAAGAGTGCTCCTCTCCTCTTCGACCAGGCAGGTCTCAGCCAATGCGTGCGAGTAGGATTCTACACGCTTTTGGGGTTTTTGTTGTCATACCACCCCTTCTACTATTTCCCAAAATAGGGGTACCCCCGTTTATACCCCTAAATGGTATAGAATCCCCTGGAAGGGACCCCCAAGAGAAGGTACGCCTTTTTCGGAAACCCCATTTCGGTGTACCCAACACCGGGCCCTAACTCAGAGAACCCCCAGTGGACAAGGTCTGGGGTGAGGCTTTGAAGGTTCCAGGTTCCCCTTTAAGTCTGGTGTTTTTTGTGGGTTTAGGGTTTAGGGTTTAGGATTTAGGGTTTAGGGTTTAGGGTTTAGGGTTTAGGGTTTAGGGTTTGGGGTTTGGGGTTTGGGGTTTGGGGTTTAGGGGAACCTTGGGGGGTTAACCAGGGGAGGGGTGGGAGGAGGGGCGGGGTGGGGTGGGGAGAAGGCCCCTGTGTAAACCCTTTGGCCTCAGGCGCATTGTTGAGCTTCTCTGGGGCAGCTGTGTGGCTGTAGATCGGCCGAGGGAAACGCTTTTTTCCCTAAACCCTAAACCCTAAACCCTTAACCCTTAAACCCTAAACCCTAAACCCTTAAACCTTCCTGGAGAGTTTGGAGCTGAGGGCTTCTTGGTTGCAACATCCTAAAACCCAAAAACCTTAAATACCTTAAACCCTAAATGCCTTAAACCCTAAAAACCCTAAACCCGAATACCCTAAACCCTAAACCTGAATACCCTAAACCCTCTGAATCCTAGCAAGCAATGTCAGGGGTTCGGCAGGAACCCGACAGGACCCTTAACCCCAACACCCTAACACCCTAAACCCCAACCCCAAACCCCAAACTCTAAACTCGAAACCCTAAACGCTGCGCCCGGACGTTTTGCCGCGGAGGATTTGTGAGCAGACTGGAAAAAGTTGCGTTTTACTCGGTGATTACAGTACTTCCGGCACTTACGCAGGCTTGGAAAGTGTCATTTTCGAAGTTCGCGTTTTCCGAAAAAACGAACTTGTATATAGGCAGTCCAGATGGTTCATTAGTCTACATTACAGCACTCGGAAAGACTTCACGAAAACCGAACCACCGACAAGAACAGCTTCGGAAGAACATATTTTCCACGTAGTGGGCACCGATCCCCTTCGGGCTCACCAGCAAAAGAAGCAGTGCAGCGAGGCCAAGATAACACGCATTCTGGTGTGCCCTGCGTTTTTTGGCATGCATTGGGACCTGCTCAAGCTCAAATGTGCACAAAACCTAGGTCTTAGACAAATTCCGGTTTTGGGAGCCAAGAAGAAACAGCACAGATTCCTCGACAGGCGGATGCCGACAAACATGGATGCTACCAAGAATGGACGTTCCCTCCCCAATCGCACGGACTGGAACACGGATGTAGAGAGGGCAGCGTTTGAGTGGAGGGGTCGTGGGTCCGGCATGCGTTCAAGGGCGGCGGCTAAACCCCAAACCCCAAACCCCAAACTCTAAGGATGCGCGGACTGCGACATGTTGTGCGTACTTTGTAGATGTGCCGTAGTACCCCTCACTTCATGCCCAGCCCCAAGCTCTACCCATCCTGTGCCGGACGTTCAGCCTTTAGTGCTTTGAGGGGGGGGGGGGGGGGGGCATCTGCAGCTGATGCGCCTCTTGATGTTCAAAGGCGACAGATCCTCCATGGTCATGGTCCACGCATGCTTCAGCGATCTTGCTTCTTGCCAAAAAAAAGCTGCTTGGGGCTTAGGGTTTGGGGTTTAGGGTTAGATGTCTCCTTAAGACATGCAATTAAACAACTGCCCGGGGGACGTCCATGCAGAGTTGAATGCGCTTGCGGGGCGATGGCTTCTCAGGTCATGTCTGTCTGTCAAATGCTTACACTCGATGGCCAACGGCGGCAGCAGAGTTGGCAGGGCCCTATAAACCCTAAACCTACACCCTTATAAACCCTAAACCCTAAGCCCTAAAGCCTAAACCATCGCTACTGTGCATAGTTGCAAGTCAGAAGGCTATCGAGAAAACTGCTCACACTTGCGAGTGCAAAGCATTCAGCGATGATACCCTGTCTACGGGAAGGCATTTTTGGCTCAGACGCAAGCGATTGCGGTCGATGGCTCACAGCCCCTTCTTAATTTCCATCTTCTGGTGCGAGCCGCTGATGCCCTGACTAGCGCTTGAGACTCGGCATTTCAAAGCATTGTGGACCTTTAGGGTTTTGGGTTCAGGGCTTCGGGCCTCCTGTCAGAGAGACTGAAATCCCCAAAAAGGCACGCCACAGCCTCGCAGACGTACACTGGGAGGTTCGCATCTTTGCTCACCGAGCTCTTCGAATCGGGCGCAACCACTTTGCGCTTCGCCTTGCCACAGAGTGGCGACCGGCCGCTTGATACTTACAAACCTGGTACCGCGCACATTTCCCGACCGAAACAATGGATGCACTGTGGCCTCCCCGTCTGCCGGGGACTCTGCCTGCTCTGCCAACCTCTTCAGGGCGCTGAGGGTTGAGAAGTATAAGGGTTGAGGTGTGGTTCTGGTGCCTCTCTTCAATGGCTGACGCGTAGGCTTTCTTGTTCTGACCTCATTCCCAGATTAGTGGCTTTGTGGGCTCCGCATATTCCCACTTCCATGTCCGAACGACTGCTTACGCTCATGCTGTGAACGCTTCCATGACCACGGCAACTGATTGGCTGCAATCCCCGAACCCGTGAACCCCTGCACCCCTGAAAGCCTAAACCCTACACCCTAAACCCTAAACCCTAAACCCTAAACCCTAAACCCTAAACCCTAAACCGTAAACCCTAAACCCTAAACCCTAAACCCTAAACCCTAAACCCTAAACCCTAAACCCTAAACCCTAAACCCTAAACCCTAAACCCTAAACCCTAAAAGCCCAAGTCCTGCTTCCCACACACCCTAAACCCTAAACCCTAAACCCTAAACCCTAAAACCCTGAACTCTAAACCCTAAACCCTAAACCCTAAACCCTAAACCCTAAACCCTAAACCCTAACCCTAAAAGCCATGACTGGGATCAGCTGTGCGCCTGCAGCCCACGTCAGACGCAAGGGCCGCCTGCCGGGAGGCCCACGAGAATTGCATCGGCTCTATGTAGATATAGGGTTTAGGGTTTAAGGTTTAGGGTTTAGGGTTTAGGGTTTTGGGTTTAGGGTTTAGGGTTTAGGGTTTTGGGTTTAGGGTTTAGGGTTTAGGGTTCAGGCTTCAGGCTTCAGGGTTCAGGGTTTAGGGTTTATGTTTTTGGTTTAGGGTTCTGGGGGGTTAGGGAATTAGGGTACCTTTCTGGGGTCCTTAATATAAGGGAGCCCTACTATTTGGTGCTCTATATTAGGGTCCCTTATTTTCGTAAATCTCCATATAGTTATAGGGCATCTGTCATTCTTCGAGGTGCTGGGCACCTTCAGCCTGTGAATTGGGTGGATGCAGGAGTTTTGGAGATTCCGCCGTGCACAAAGAGCTCTCGCCCTCCGAATGCGCATTGTGGAAACCCACCCTGCACCAGCTGTGCAATCGAATCAACCGGAGTAAAAACCCCACATATATATATATATATATATACATATATATATATATATATTTCTTTATTATTTGTTGATTTAATTATTTATTTATATGCTTCACAAACATGGCCACAAAAGGTTCAAAGGGCCCCCACCTCGGCCACGTCTGCAGGCACGCCAGGTTCCTGAATCGTGGCCGGGTGTGACGCAGCAACTGCTACCAACAATGGTGGCAACTTGGCAGGTCTTTTGGGCCTTTAGAGTTTAGGGTTTAGGGTTTAGGGTTTAGGGTTTAGGGTTTGGGGTTTAGGGTTTAGGGTTTAGGGTTTAGGGTTTAGGTCCAGGGTATGGGACAAACCTTTGCAGCAGGCGACAGGACTCAGGAACCAACACCGGCCCATTAAGAATGGGTTTGGTCTGACTCCTCAAGCACAAGCCCCACATGTAACACCCCTTGCAGGGCTTAGGGTTTATAGGGATTGGGGATTCGGGTTTACGGGATTAGGGGTGTGTGACATAAGGAATTGAGGACCTGCTGACCATGCAAACGGGAGATGGGCTGAAGAGCCTAAGATTCGACCCTCGAAACCCTAGACGTCCTATGAAATCCATAAAGGCGCAAGGCAAGTTTGGAAGCCCTAAACCCTAAACCCTTAACCCTAAACCCTAAACCCTAAACCCTACACCCGAACAACTCTAACCTTCCTAAACTCTCCCCCACGACTGGCCGGGAGGGGACCTTTAGAACGCCCAGCAAGGCCAGGCAGAGGGTGCGTTCCATGCCTTGCCAGGGAGCTGGGGTCAGGGTTCACGACTGGGGGCTGGGGGAGGGTTTAGGGTTTAGGGTTTGGGGTTCAGGGTTTAGGGTTTAGGGCTTAGGGCTTAGGGATGTTTAGGGCTTAGGGCTTCGGAATGTTTGGGGTTTAGGGCTTAGGGTTTAGGGATTCAGGGCTTAGGGATGTTGAGGGTTTGGGTTTTGGGGTTTTGGGGCTTTGGGCTCGAGCCAGTCTACTTCCCTGTTCTCACGCCCCAGCAAAGAGCTTCCAGGGCAGACGAGAAAACTGACCGGGCAGTTCTTAGTAGGGAATGAGTACCTTATATAACCCATTAAAAGGTACAGTATGTTTCGGGCCCTCGCCCTCATTCCCTCATTCCCTACTAAGAACCAAAGGGACTGGCAGGGTGGTCGTTCGCGATTTGCAATCTGGCAACTTGGGGGGGGCCCTTTCACCCAAGCACCCCCCCCCACCCGGGTGTATAGGGTTTAGGGTTTAGGGTTTTAGGGTCTTAGGGTTTAAGGTTTAGGGTTTAAGGTTTAGGGTTTTAGGGTTTAGGGTTTTGAGGGTCTTAGGGTTTAAGGTTTCGGGTTTAGGGCTTGCCCGTGAGCACGTGGCCTGAGACGGCTTCGAGCGGGACGAGGTCGCCCAACTGGCCATCACGCGACCCCGGCTCTTGAAAGGACTCGTTACAGCAAACTCCAGAAAGTTTGAACATGGTTTAAGGATGAGTCGAGGTGGGATTCCCTTTAGTCCATCTTTTTTTTGGGGGGGTATGGGGGGTAAAGATGTTCCAACCTTTTGGAGTTTGCTGCAATTGGGATCTTGGGCTCCATAAGTTTTTGGGACTGAGGGTTCTGGGGCTGCAGGGCTTAGGTGATCTAGAGCCTGCGGGTTCTTGAATGTTGAATCCTACTACAGCCTACAACCTAAATCGACCCCTGACCAGGGGTCAGGATTCAGATGGCGGCCCTCAACCTTAAACCTTAAACCCTAAACCCTAAACCCCAAGCCCGAAGCCGCTTCGGGCTTGGGGGGAAATATGTCAACCCGCGCAGCCGAGAGCTGTGGGGCCCCAGTCCCCGAGTCAGGGGGCCGAACGCTTTTGTTGACGGCTTCGGGATGCTTCCGGGTTAGGGTTTGGGGTTTAGGGTGTAGGGTTTAGGGTTTAGGGTTTAGGGTTGAATTGGGGTTTTAGGGGTTGGGCTTAGGCAACGTCACGAAGAGAGATATGTGCGCTCCCCTTCCCCATATGGGAGTTTACGAAGATAGGAGGCCCCCAACAAAGACCCCCGCATAGTAGGATCCCCTTATAAAACGGACCCCATTAAGGTACCTATTATAAACCCATATCACTGCTGCCCCAGGGCGTTGGTGCCTTCACCTGCAGGCACCCTAAACCCTAAACCCTAAACCCTAAACCCTAAACCCTAAACCCTAAACCCTACACCCTAAACCCTAAACCGATGCCTTGGTGCCCTGGGCCAAGATGCGCGCCGCCAGCTCCGACACCATTGGGGCGTCGCGGGCCCCAGCCTGCTGGGGGTGGGTTTAGGGTTTAGGGTTTAGGGTTTAGGGTTTAGGGTTTAGGGTTTAGGGTTTAGGGTTTAGGGTTTAGGGTTTAGGGTTTAGGGTTTAGGGTTTAGGGTTTAGGGTCTAGGGTGTAGGGTTTGGGGTTTGGGGTTTGGGGTTTCGGGTTTAGGGCTTAGGGTTTAAAAGGGTTTAGGGTGCCTCCTGCCATGTAGGGTTTAGACAACTGAGGCCTGCCAGCAACCCAATCACAAAACACACTTTTGCAACCATCCGGCTACGATACTCGAAAGGCTGCTCAGCTCACGCTGTTGTCTCTGAAGCTTCCATGTTCCTTTGCCACCCGAAACCCTCAAGCCCCTGCAAAAAGCCTCCCTGCACACAAGCCCCCCCCCCCCTTTCCCCCCCCTCCCCCCCAAAAAAATAACAAATCCAGAGCCCTCGTCACCTTTCTTTCGCTCGAAACTGCTTCGGTGTCAACGGCCCGGCTTTTGGAGGCATTTGACAGCTTTTTGGGAGGGGTCGCCTTGACTTCATGGAGCTCCGATACCTAAGGGGTGGTAGCCTCTGTTCAAAGCTAGCACCTCAACACTCAGCTTCTGTAGGAGTTGAGGGCCATCAGAGCCGGCTGCGCTCCTCCAACGTGCTTCTCCTTGGGCTGCCCCGGAGCTTCGGACAAACATGTGCTGGTATGTATCTTCAAGGCAAGACAGCTAATCCTAAAAAATCCAAACCCTAAACCCTAAACCCTAAACCCCAAACCCCAAACCCCTAACCCGAAACATGGCTCTTCAATGAAGAAAATCCCCCCAAGTCTCAGAATTCGGGAGGCAGCGCTGGCGCCACCCTTGGCATCAGATGCTTTAGCCGCGGCCGGTTCCTCGCAGCTGTGGGTCGCAGGGTAGTGCGCAGCCCTTCTTCAGGGTTTAGGGTTTAGGGTTTAGGGTTTAGGGTTTAGGGTTTAGGGTTTAGGGTTCATCCACACGGATGCTCGGTTCACGAGCCCCGAGATTACAGGGTCGAAGTCGTAGCCTGCACTCCTAGCCCTTACCATAGCAGGAGGTGTCCGAGGTCGAAGCCTGGCCCCTAAATTCCCTAAACCCTGAACCCTAAACCCAAACCCTAAACCCTCAACCCTAAACCCTAAACCCTGAACCCTGAACTCTAAACCCTAAACCCTCAACCCTAAACCCTAAACCCTAAACCCTAAACCCTAAACCCTAAACCCTAAACCCTAAACCCTAAAAGCCCAAGTCCTGCTTCGGCAAGCCGCCATGGAACTGCCCAGACACCTTGAGGGATTGAGGGCGCATTCGGTCTACAGGGTTCTAGGGGCCTTGCGTGGAATCGTGGGTTTAGGGTTTAGGGTTTCGGGTTTAGGGTTTAGGGTTTAGGGGTTTAGGGGATTAGGGGTTTAGGGGTTTCGGGTTTCGGGTTTCGGGTTTAGGGTTTAGGGGTTTAGGGGCTTCAAGAAGCCCAGCCCGCCCGAAGATCCCCTTCGACCATGAATTCCACATTCCTTCTCTACTCCAATATACTATACTATACTATACTCCAATATACTATACTATACTATACTGTACTATACTATACTATACTAATACTATACTATACTATACTATACTATACTATACTATACTATACTGTACTATACTACAGATTCCGAGGTGAAACATCCCAACTCTCGAGCCGGCCCGCCTTCCAGGCCACTCCTCGACTGCTCGCGGGAGCTACTCCCTAAACCCTGCACCCTATATAAACCCTAGACCCTAAGGGTTTAGGGTTTAGGGTTTAGGGTTTAGGGTTTAGGGTTTAGGGTTTAGGGTTTGGGGTTTGGGGTTTAGGGTTTAGGGTTTAGGGTTTAGGGTTTAGGGCTTTGGGGAAATGACTACTGTACGGCAGTTGTTGGGGTTAGGGTGCAAGTCGAGCAGAGGAAGCTCGCGAAGTTCGCCTTCACTGTGCGTGTGCCCGCTTCAGCAGTTGCATATACTACAGATATACAAACCAACGAATACACATGTAAGATAGCATATGTATTTTATACAAGCATACATATGTATATATATATATATATATACAACGACGAGAGCTCCGAAAGTCTGCACGCACAACCAACCCTTTTAAGCTCCCAACTGCATGGAACTTCCATCTCAAGCTCTAGTATGGGGTTTCCGAAAATTGGGGGGGGGGGTACCTTTTTGGGCGTCCCTTTAAGGGGATTCTATTCTATTTCGGGGAGAAAGAAAGGGTACCCCTATTTTGGGAAATGCCCATATCCCTTCTCCTAAACCCCGGGCCCTACTCTGGAAATCTCGAGCCCAGAAACCCAACACACCAGCCCAAGATCCCAACCTGAATCCTAACCCGGCTACGCCAAGCCTAAGTCTATGCTTAAATAAAGCCCCATAAATAAAGCCCTATGAAAGCTCTACAAGGCCCAAAGCCCTGAACCCCAAGCCCTAAACCCTAAACCCTAAACCCCACGATGCTCCTTGGTAAGCTGCAGCATTGCGCCGTGGGTTTCGCACGAGCCGCCCGGGCAGGGCTCCGGTGCAGCGGCCGTGCCTTGAGGGGTTTAGGGTTTAGGGTTTAGGGTTTAGGGCTTAGGGTGGGTTTAAGGTTTAGGGTTTAGGGTTTAGGGTTTAGGGCTTAGGGTTTAGGGTTTAGGGTGTAGGGCTTAAGGTTCAGGGTTCATGGGTTGAGGCTGAGGACATGGGCTCGATATTTTGGGGGGGGGGGCCACGAGAGTTGTGATTCTACGAGATTTGGGGCCCCATTTTATGCAAATTGCCGGGCTTCAAGGGCTTGGGGTGTTGGGGCATCAAGTGGGTTGAGGGGTTCACAGGGACCCCCGGACCTCATTAAGCCTGAAGCCAGAGCCTCACGAAGCAACAAACTCGGCGGGAACGCTGTGCTAAAATTTGCTTAAGAGCCCGCCAAAAAAATATTCTTCCTTGTAATTGAGGGCGATATAATCTTGGCTCGGGCCCGGACCCACAGCACCAGGGGCTTGCAGATTCAGAAATGCTTGTCCGATTTAGCTTATGGCTATTGCATGGCGAGTCCGAGGCAACCAGACGCCCTTCTGTGAAGAGGTATTCCGCATGTTTTGGGGGTTGGTACACGCCAGAGCGAGAGTGAGAGCGATAGCGGGAGAGAGAGAGAGAGAGAGAGATGGAGACCAAGCCAGAGACAGAGACGGAGACGGAACAGAGACTTCAAGCGCTGGGTCTGCTGATACGTCCAATCAGACACGGTGTGCTTTTAAGATGTCAGGCAGAAGATGACGTGAAAGTTGCAAGTGAGCGGTCTTGGGGCAGGTAGGCCTGCAGGCCCGAATTAAAGCCTGAAGCCGAAGAATCCTGAAGCCCTATAGTCCCTGAAAACACTGCTGCAAGCTGAGACGCTTCACGGTTGGCTGTCCAGCAAGCAATGTGAGGCAGTAGCCTTCCACATCTTGCAACCAGCGGTCCTGCGAGGGCACAGAGTCCGCCCTCCCAACCGCCAGGCCCGCACAGCCCCTAGGTTTAGGGTTTTTGGGTTTCGGCTTCGTCGCTGCTTCTCGGGTAGAACAGGACTCACGAAGAGAGGCTGGAAAATGAGGTCCAAGTTCATGGACACCCTGTCGTGCTAGGGTTTGGGGTTGAGGGCTTTTTACACCCTGAAACCACGAACCCTTTAGCCCGTAAAAACCATACAGGCGCCGCATCTTAGGGAGACGCGCTCGCGCGCGCGCGCTCCTGTCCCAAAGGCATGTCTCTGGCAACATATGGCTGGCCCAGACCTTAGATGAGCCAGCAAAAGCAACATCGAGCTCATGCATAAGCCTCGTAATCCTCAGGGCCTTTTTGCCACAGTTCCTCCGGGGCTTGAAGGCTGATCGGCAGGGTGGCTTCCGCCAAGTGCAACAAGACATGGTCGAAAAGCCGCTTGCATCCAAGATGCTCAGCCTCTCGAAGTCGATCACATTAATGTCCGCCTTCCTTTGTGGCGTGCACACGCAACATACGGAAAAGGACGTGACGAGACGCATGGGATAAGCTCAAGCTCCCATATCATGCTGAGACGCCCTGAAGCCTGATCTCTGGCCAAGGCACTTGCCCACCTCCAGGACCCCACGATCTTTTAAGCCGAAGAGATTGGCAACCTCAAGCGAATTCACCTTGACCACCTGCTCCACATTCATCTTCGGACCCTTGACGCGGTCTCGCGCCAAGTAGGACAGCATGTGGGATGCGATTGGAGCATCCTGGAATATAGTTCCATGTGCCCCGGCATCTGCGAATCCGGGAATGATGTGCGGATGGTTCAACCTGGCGCACGTTGAGTTGTACCCCTCCCAGTCGTAAGAGCCAAGGAACGGCTTCCACACAACTCCTCCATTGGCCAGGATATCATAGAACACCTCGCCAATACTCCGACCTTCTCTTGCTGCGATAGCCACAATGCTGTCGGTTTCCTTTTTCGGCTCGTAGTGTGGTGTCCATGGGAAGTGCTCGTCGAAAGACCCAAAGAACTCCTGGAGGTAGCGATATGGCCCCGTATGGTTTGCGTTGAAGAAGGTTGTCGCTTCCTTAGCTCACCCTAGACCCTAAACCCTTAAACCCTTAAACCCTAAAACCCTAAAACCCTAAAACCCTAAAACCCTAAAACCCTAAAACCCTAAAACCCTAAAACCCTAAAACCCTAAAACCCTAAAACCCTAAAACCCTAAAACCCTAAAACCCTAAAACCCTAAAACCTAAAACCCTAAAAACCTAAAACCCTAAAACCCTAAACCCTAAACCCTAAGCCCCCTAAGCCATCAGCCCTAAACACTAAACGCTACCCGAAGCTGCACTGTGAACAATGTGAGACGACATGGGATGCCTGGACATTGGTGCAGATGTGATGGCTTGAAGTTGGGACACTGACAGTCCACTGCTGTTTCGCCTCCCAAAGGTGTAGGGAGCCCTGGGTTTAGGGAGCTTTGTGCTCAGGGAGCTTCGGGCTTAATATAGCTAAAGACTTCATGGCTTTAGGGCATTTGTGGCCTAGGAGGACCCTCTTGCTGCGTGGCGTCGTGGATGATCTGGTCTCGCTTGCCCGACCTTTTCAGCGTTGCCAGTAGATCAAGGCCAGCCTCCTGGCAGTGCTTGTTGATGGCCTCCAAGTAGCACGGGTGTTGATGAAGGTAGCACTTCAGCACAGGGGCACACAGTAGACGGGTGCACAGAACCCCCCATTACCTGCACCCACACTTGGGAGACATTTGCAGGGTTTGGGTATATGGGTACTCAGACTTGTCCAAGGCTCGTAACGCCGAAGGCCCGAAACCGTAAGCCTCTAAACCTCACGAAGCTGAAAGCCTACACGCCACGACCCCAAAACCCCAAACTCCCAAGCTTTTCAAACCCTTACCTTAAGCCACAAGAATCCTCAACCCCAAACCCAGAAACAGGATTGCATGGCGGCGAATCCCTCAGCCTCACCCGAATCATATCTATATTCCAAATCATCAGAATCATCATTGCCGGGTGTTTAACGAAGCTTTATGAACTAGTAGCTTCTTTAGCTCCCAAGTTTTGTTTACCATGTTGTGATTTTTCCGCTAAAAAAGCTTGTGTGTGATTCATTAATTCTGAAGCATGAAATGAACAAATAGTTTCACAAAGTTAGCTTCAAGGCTTCTGGCCCAAATCTTTCTCCTAGTCAGTAGCCCAAACCCGTCTAGAACTTTCGACCCCAGATCAAGAACAAAAAAACTCGCCAAGAACTTTCGGCCGAGACCGCCGACAAGCCACCCAGAACCCTGAACCCCATAAACCCTACACCCTCTGCTGAAGTGATTTCACCCTGAACCCTAAAACCCTAAACCTACAAACCCTAAACCCTCTGCTCAGATGATTTCAACATACCACAAGCCCTGCTCCAAACCCTGACGGCCTGAAAGGTGGGACTCACGGTGAAGGGATGCGCCCGGGAACCGAAAGATTGAAGAAGACCTGCTGTGATTCACTAAGGTTTCGGGGTCGAGACGGTTTAGGGTTCAGAGGGTTGAGGGCTTCGGGCTTGGGGAGGGCTAAAGGTGTTGGGGCTCAGGGTGTTGGGAGGGTTTCTAGAGGGTGTTGAGCTTAGGGTTTAGGATCAAGGGATGATCCCTATGCTACAACCTAGACCCCGATGACTTCTCCTTGCTCTTTCTTGTTCTAACGGGGGGAGGAGGAGGGCCGGGGGACATCAAGAACAAAGTCTTTTTGCAGCTTAGGGTGTGCTTCCTGAGTCTTACCCTAAACCCTAAACCCTAAACCCTAAACCCTAAACCCTAAACCCACAAACCTAAACCCTAAACCCTAAACCCTTATGGGATGTCGCTTGGCTTCAGGCTTTGGAGCTCTAGCAGGCTAGGGTAGATTGGCCCAGCAGCCCTCTTAAACCCCCCAAGTGAGTCCATGGAGGTTCCGGGGGCCAGGTCCCAAAACCCTAAACCCTAGACCCTACGCCTCAACCCCTAAACCCTAAACCCTAAACCCTAAACCCTAAACCTCATGGGACCCCCGCCTTGCGCTCGGGCAACGCACTGCCCTCGTGCTATTCCCCCGGCCTCCTTGGACGATGGGGTTGCAGGGAGCCCAAGTCTCTCTGGAATTGGCTTAGGGCTTAGGGCTTAGGGTTTAGGGTTTAGGGTTTAGGGTTTAGGGTTTAGGGTTTAGGGCTTAGGGCTTAGGGCTTAGGGCTTAGGGTTTAGGGTTTATAGGGATCCGCGAGCCGCGGCCGGCCGGTGGGCGACGAGAATGCCTGGAGTGCCCAATCTCAGAGAAATCCTGGCCCAGAGCATCCCCCACAGAATCCTGGAGTGCCGCCCAACCCCGAGTGCAAAAGCAGAGTATTTCTGCAATGCCCAACCACAGAGTATTCCCAGATAGTTTTTGGAGTGTCCAACCCATAGTATCCCCCAAAAAATGCCTGGAGTGTCCCTAAACTCTAAACCCTAAACCCTAAACCCTAAAACCTAAACCCTAAACCCTAAACCCTAAACCCTAAACCCTAAACCCTAAACCCTAAAGAGCATCCCGCAAAGCCCTGCAGTGCCCAACCCCAGAGTGCAGAGCATCACCTGAGAATCGCTGGAGTGAGACTGTCCCCTTAAATTCTTAGGGTTTAGGGTTTAGGGTTTAGGGTTTAGGGTTTAGGGTTTAGGGTGCCCCAGGGAAGCCCCTGGAGTGCAGCTCAGAGTATCCCCAAACCGCAGTATCCCCAGAGAATCCCCTGAGCAACAAACTCACCCGTGCATGGTTTCGACGCTGCTGCTGGAAATGCACTTAGCTCTGGTTTCGAAGCCGCGCTTGGAGATGTAGTAACGTGGTTTCGACGCTGCTCTTGGCCAGCCGGAGCTAGGTGGGGGTGGCCCCAATTTGCACACACCCTAGCTGGACCCCCTCCCCACACCCGTGTTGTTCAACCTTACGGTTGGAAAGAGACTCGGCTAGCTCCCACGGGCTAGCTTTCGTGATTGAGGAAACTACCCACATACCTTGTACAGATTCAGTGTGAACTATGGGGTATTGTTCTCCGCGGCCAGGTGTCGGGATGTGAGGCTGTATAAACCTTTTCGTGCTAGGGCTTTACGGTCCAAGGCTTCAGGGCTTTGGGGTTTTAGGCTCAAGGGTGCAGGTTTCTCCAATCTGGAGTGCAACAAGAAAACGGTTGCCAAGAACACCCCCCAGAGTCGTTAATGGCCTGGACGAGCCCCAAGACAGGGTGGGTGGCGAAGCAGTTGAAAGACAAAGCAACATCTCGCCCGTGCTGACGGGCAATGTCCATGAGCCATTCAAACTCTCCTCGCTGATACCGTCGCAGCTTCTCTTGGTCGACCTTGTCAGAAGGAACGTCATCGTAGGAGCTCCAATCGGTACTCATCTCGAACACGCCCCCGCCGCCATCTGCCACAGCTTTCGCTATGGCTTTCAGCTCAGCTGCACTGGACAATGCGCCCGGCGTCAGGGTGCCTTATATGCCAAGTGACTCAAAGGCTGCCAAACCTTCGAGGGAACCCTTAAGCCCTTAACCCCTCAACATTGATAACCATCATCGTCATGACAAAAATTATACTGACACGAATACGAATGCAAGGTGAATATGAATGAGAACTCCACCCCAACGCCAATACCAGACTACTGCTACGACGCCGTCGGCAACCTTCTTCCTATAGCGCGAAGACGACTGACTTCGACTGCGACGACTTAGGCATTCCAATAATATGGACAAAACGAATAGTCACGGTATCCAAGTACGAGATGAGAATCAGAGTGACAAACCCAAAAATCATAATAACAACACCACTCATCACAACCACATCTTGTAGTTCTTATTGTCGAAGCTTCTACCCATAATCACCACTTTGCATACAACAATAACAACAATGGTAGGTGCCCTCTGGAGCCCTAAACCCTAAACCCTAAACCCTAAACCCTAAACCCTAAACCCTAAACCCTAAACCCTAAACCCTAAACCCTAAACCAAGTCGCCCTCGGGATCGCGGTGCACCATCAGCCGCGACGTGGAAAAGCCAAAGGCGCCGACAGCCATGGCATCGAGGACGAGTGCTGCAATAGCCTCCCAAGGCTCACTTGCGGTTTAGGGTTTAGGGTTTAGGGTTAGGGTTTTAGGGTTTAGGGTTTAGGGATTAGGGCTTAGGGCTTAGGGCTTAGGTTGTAGGGTTTAGGGTTTAGGGGGATTAGGGTAGCTCTCTAAATTTGCGCGGCTTTTTTTGGGAGTCCCCGAGTCCCCTTTGTAACACGGCACCCTGAAAAGATAAGGACCCCAAAGGGAACCGAATTTAGAGAACAACTCTCTTAGTGGCCCTCTAGCAAGGGTTCAGGTTTTGGCCACTGGCCATTGAAGGCCGGGGCTCTTTTGTTGTGAATCGAGCCCTTTGGAGCCTGTAGGGCTCGATTCGGAGACTCTGGGTGCCTTTAGAGGGCTCCAAAATGAAGACCCCGAGATTGCAAGCGCTGGGATGCGCGAGGCAGGCGCCGCATGACATAGCTAGTAGAACCCTTGCCCAAAGATCAAACGACTACTTAGAAGCCTCTATGAAGGAGTGTGATAATGGTATCACCTTGGGGATTATTGATAGGTGAGGTCATGGGCTATTTAGGTAAAGGTCGAAGTACTGGGCAAGGAGTAGAGCTATGTGGGGGGAATGTAGAAGGGAGCAAAGGAAGAATCTTTCAATCGGGTGGCTTAGTAAAGTTTCGCCCGAATTCGATGGGCAACGGCAAAAGCCTTCGCACGAGATGATGACGATGATGATGATGATGACGATCATGATGCTGATATAGACGATGACGATGACGACTTTCTTCAATTTGTGCGGGAGGGGGGGGGGTCGTTTGTCATGGTTGTGTAGAGCCTCTGTGTGTGTGTGTGTGTGTGTGTGTGTGTGTGTGTGTGTGTGTGTGTGTGTGTGTGTGTGTGTGTGTGTGTGTGTGTGTGTGTGTGTGTGTGTGTGTGTGTGTGTGTGTGTGTGTGTGTGTGTGTGTGTGTGTGTGTGTGTGTGTGTGTGTGTGTGTGTGTGTGTGTGTGTGTGTGTGTGTGTGTGTGTGTGTGTGTGTGTGTGTGTGTGTGTGTGTGTGTGTGTGTGTGTGTGTGTGTGTGTGTGTGTGTGTGTGTGTGTGTGTGTGTGTGTGTGTGTGTGGTTGTGTGTGTGTGTGTGTGTGTGTGTGTGTGTGTGTGTGTGTGTGTGTGTGTGTGTGTGTGTGTGTGTGTGTGTGTGTGTGTGTGTGTGTGTGTGTGTGTGTGTGTGTGTGTGTGTGTGTGTGTGTGTGTGTGTGTGTGTGTGTGTGGGAGCTGACAGGGTTCCGTGAGGACCACGTGCAGCCATAAGGCATGCTTACTTGCGCAATCCGGGAGCCTGTGGGTGCAAAGCAGCTCCCGCCTCAATCTCATGCTCCTTCAGAGGATTCTGTGCTGGGCCTGCAGGGAGGTGAGCTGGGCAGGATAGCTCAGTATCTGCAAACACGAAAACCCAGTAAAGACCCTAAACCCTAAACCCTAAAACCCTGAACCCTAAACCCTAAACCCTAAACCCTAAACCCTAAACCCTAAACCCTGAGCCTCCTGGCTTGTCAGACAGGTTCGCCTTGTCTCCCATCACCCAGGTGCGCACTGCCGTGTGCCCCACAAGCACCGCGACATCGCAACCAAGCTTCGCGCGCTCGATGCTGTCCATGTACTCTTCAAAGGTCTCGAAGTCGTAAGTAAGCCCTTCTGCAATGATCCGCTCCTTATAGCCCAGTAATCATATTTCAACAAGGGCACCCCTTGTTTGGGTTGGTTGCTTTAGAATTCATAAGGGAACACAAACCCCCCCCTCCCCCCACAAAACAAAAAAAGAAAGGCAAAAAGGGTGCCACTGGGGCTTCGAAGGCTCCGGTACATCCTCCACGGCCTCCACGAGATGGGCAAGGAACTTACGTCGGTCACTTTGGCATGGAGCGAAGCCGATGCCGCAGTTGCCCATGATGCAGGTCGTAACCCCACAGGAGGAGCTGGGACTCAGGTAAGGGTCCCAGGACCACTGTGCATCATAGTGCGTGTGCGCATCAATCCATCCGGGCGTGACAAGCAGCCCGCGGGCGTCGAACTCCTGCTTTCCCTGAACGGGGATATCTTGTCCGATTGCGGTGATCACGCCGTCCTTGATAGCGACGTCTGCCACAAATTCGGGCTTCCCCGTGCCATCCACCACACGTCCGGAGCGAATCACAAAGTCGGCGAAATCGTCTCTGGCGGACATGTCTGCGATGAACCGCTCAAACTATGCACAAGAAAGCCATCATGGCTGCGTGTGTCAGAGCGGGCGTAAGGTGAAGCATGAGTAAGAAAGCAACTAGCTAGCAATCAAGCAGCCAGATTCATGCGCTCATCCATACACCATCCCACCCTATCGGTACTCACTCGTTATACCTTCTTTCGCCTGATGGTCTGCCCTCCCTACCTCTGGCTCTCGGTTACCATCACCATCACCTTCCTACCCACCTACATATATACATACATACATACATACATACATACATACATACATACATACATACATACATACATACATACATACATACATACATACATACATACATACATACAGACCTACATACATAAGTGCATGGAAATGCATGACAAGAAGAAGTACTTCAGCATCCAATGTACTACAGCTCCACTGCTAGACATGCGCAGACCGAGTCCTGGGGCACTCGCAGATCATGCCTGGCCTTGTGGATGCCTAGCCGCGACTTCTCTTCCTGCTCACTGAAGCTGGCAGCCCACCTGGGCCAGCAGCCATTGGGGGAACATGCGTTGCTGGGAATATGTACCTCTTAGGGTTTAGGGTTTAGGGTTTAGGGTTTAGGGTTTAGGGTTTAGGGTTTAGGGTTTAGGGTTTAGGGTTTAGGGTTTAGGGTTTAGGGTTTAGGGTTTAGGGTTTAGGGTGTAGCTCTTGGGCAGCAGCATGGCGATTCCCGTTGCGGTAGCGCCGTCTGAAACTGGAATGTTTGCGGCCCTCCCCCCATGCAACGCCAGCTGCTTGGGGAGCGGGCGCTGGGCTCATCAGCAGTATAGAGGAAGTCTCCCATACCTGGCCAGTGGAAATTGGCCGCATATCCCAAGTCGAATTTTCTTTATGCTGGATGAGGCTCCGTGGTTTAGGGCTTAGGGTTCCACACTTGGGGCTTGGGGCGTTTAGTTTTCAGGGTCCCATCCATCCCCAGTGCCTGTTTTGCGAAGGAGGCCTTTTCGGAGGAGACGCGTAGCAAGAAAGGCCTGACTGCAGTCTGACTGCATACGGTCTCGTGCGCTCAGGACGAGGGGGCCTGCAGGCGAAGTGTTACATCGTTTTTTCCAAGGTTGTCTTGCAATAGCTTCCCGAGAGAATCAGGACCCAATAGTCCCAATAGGACCCAATAGGACCCAATGAAGCCTATACCCTAAACCCTAAACCCTAAACCCCAAACCCTAAACCCTTGATACTCCGAGGCTGGGACCAGGCGTCGATGTCACTAGGGACCTGCGCCAGAGGGCCCGTGGAGCTCCCCCCACGCAAACTGTGAACTCTGAGCTCAGCCCGCGACCCCGACACCTCCTGAGGAACCCTAAACCCTGAACGTTAAACTTCAACCCTAAACCCCAAACCCTAAACCCGAAATCCACAGTGGAAGGGAGGTTCGGCAGGGCAGTAGCAAGCAGCTGTTGCCCGACAAAATCGCGTGCACAAAGCAGAGGTATCAGAGGCCTCAAACATGGAGCGTAAAGCCCCTCTAGCTATAGGGGGTTATAGATATGCTACCCCTACACCCTAAACCTTAAACCCTAAACCCTAAACCCTAAACCTAAACCCCTAAGCCATCATTCCAGTATGCTACCCACAAAAAAAGGGGGCATTACATTAGGCGCCTTTAGGTAGTCTTCGGGGCGAAACCCGGAGAGGCCAAGGCGGGCCGCGTAGCCCGAAAAGCAGCCCGCCGCCTCCTCCAACAGGGCAGGTGCCTTCTTCACCTGCCCGGAAAATGAGGGTTTAGGGTTTAGGGTTTAGGGTTTAGGGTTTAGGGTTTCGGATTTAGGGTGTTGGGGTTTAGGGTTTAGGGTTCAGGGATCCCTAGGGCCGCCCCGCTTGAACCAAGACCTGAAGTCCTACAATCCTGAAGCTGGCCGCTCAGGGCCGTGAGCTCTACACCCGGGGACAGGTTCCAACCCTAAAGCCTAAACCCTGAACCCTAAACCCTAAACCCTGAACCCTAAACCCTACGGAAATCGGCCTCCGCGAGGCCCCGCTTCAGTTTCGTGAGGATACCCGAACACCTGAGACTTCGCAATCACAAGAAGAGTGTCGGACTTGGAGGTCTGGGGAGGGCGTCGGATCTGTCATCTCCGACTTTGCACGTTCCAGAACCTCGAAACAAGTAACTAAGCCCCAAACGATAAAGCACAGCAACCCAAACCCCTCCCAGCCCCCAGTGAAAAGCCCTCCCAACCCCTAAGGCTTATACATGGGTCCCTAATGGGGATTATGGTACCCCCTTACTAGAATCCCTATAGTAAGGACTGTTAGTATAAGGGGGCACATCCCAACTCATACAGCTTTCACCTCTAGTCCTCGAGCTCCCCCACCCCGCGGCGAAGTTCGCTTCGTCCGCGGCGGCTAAGGCGGCAGCCTGCTTACTGCTGGCTAGTAGGGAGTGGGGGAATGAGGTACCCTACATAATCCCTAAAAACGGGTATATAGGGGGATACATAGATGTAGAGACCCATGAAGGGATTTTGGGGTCTGCAGGTACTTGGAGGCCTCTTTGTGTGGGCTGTGGGATTCAGATAGAGGCCCTGGAGCATGGCTTGGCGGAGAAAGACGGTAGGACTGCTGCTTGCGCTCTCAACCTAACCAGCTATGGGATTTTCCCCAAGGGCCTACCTATAGTCAAGCCATCCTCCCTGAAATATTGATAAGCAACATCATACATACATCAACCGACATTCCTTGCTTGCGTCTGACAACACACGCTTGGCCTTCTCAGACTCCCGCTGGCCTCCTTAAGGGCATCTGCCAGCTTTGCCATGCGTCAAACGGCTTCGAGGTAGCTAAAACTGATGTGACCGGAAAGAAGTACGGTTGCAGAATTGGAGTGTGACTTTAGAGGTTTAGGGTTTAGGGTTTAGGGTTTAGGGTCTAGAGTCTAGGGTTTAGGGTTTAGGGTGTTAGTAGGATTGCTTGCATCAAGCTCTGCGGCTGCAAGGTGATGTTGGCGTCGGGTTGCGAGTAGCAGTATAGCGATCTAGGGGGTGCGCTCCCTACGTCAAGCATCTTTGCAACCACGAGCAAGTGATCATGCGCAAAAGCCAGAAAAACGTCCAGCACAGATGCAAGCATGTGCAGGCAGGCAACGACAGAACCAGCGTAGCGTCCCTGTTGCGACGCAGGTGTTTCCAAGATGCGCATGATAATCCCAAGGATTTCCATCGGATATGGCGCCGGTCTGATTAATTGGAGAGCAAGAGGCTATTGGTTAAACACACACCTACAGGTTCACTGCATGGCATCGACTTTGCTCCCTGAGCCATGTTCGAATTTCAGATGTGATGAAGATCTGGTCGCACGGAAAGGTGTTACAGAGGAAGAAAATGCCATGCGGCTTGATACTTCTGCACATTTCGCTAAGCTGCTGCACTTTCTCTAGGCAGGGGGCGGTGTCTTAAACAAAGTCCTGTTTGCATACACAGGACGGCAATCGCTACAAGAAGTCCTCAAATTCCCAACGTGCATCGTGAAGCATCTCTAAGAAGCCTACGCCTACGCACCAGCCTCACTGTAGCGGTAGGCCACAACGGGATCCACCTGATAAACCCAAAGCTTGCTTGCGGATGTTGACGGCAAGTTGTTGGTGTAGGGTTTAGGGTTTAGGGCTTAGGGCTTAGGGCTCAGGGGTCTGGCTTCGGGCTTCTGGCTTCGGGCTTCGGGCTTAGGGCTTAGGGCTCAGAGCTCAGGCGGGACAAGCAGATGTGGCACAGGACCAGAAGGGAATACCAGAAGTAATTATTCCGACCCCTATATTAGCTTTTGAAGGCATGCCTCTCTTGCATCATGCCCTGCGCAGCGTTGACTTTCACATAGTGGCCAACAAAGGCTGTGTTCACCCCTGCTTCTGCGATGCCAGTCGTATCGTCATGCAGGACACATCGACATGCCCGGGTAAGTGCAGAGCTAGAAACAAATCGTCACAAAGCACCTGTTTGACCCGAAAACTGAGCTGGTGCAAACCTATGTTTGGCAAAGTAGGCGGATGCAGCCGGACCTTTCCTTGCAAGCATCCCTTACCCAACACCAGCATGAATCCGAGGCCTACTTGGGCCGGCTCGGGCAGCTTCGCTGGTTTATACCCCTAAACCCTAAACCCTAAACCCTAAACGCTAACGCTAAACCCTCAACCCTGGTTCAGGCTTCAGAGTTAGGGGTTGAGCTTGATGAGCAGGATTGAGTCGAACAGGGCCCTGATGTCGTGTTTCACATCTTCCTTTCAGGGGCTTTAGAGCTTGGAGTTTAGACTGCAAGATCTGGGTATACAACTTTTGACTCATGCCAGAGATCGAAGGTCTAAGGTTACACTAGCAGGGGAGGTGGGGGAAAGAATCCATCAATTCATCCGCCTTCGCATGGGATCGGGGCTGGGGCTTGGGCACGGCGCCTCTTCTTTCGCACATGCAAACTTTTGGAGATCTCGCCCGCGGCTCCTTGGCCCTTGCGAAAACAAGTTGGGGTTTCAATTTCGAGGGGATCAACGGAAGCCCCCTGAAACCCACCTCTCATTTCAAAAGGCATCAACGTGTGCAGTAGTTATCGACAGCATAGACAAAGGTTCAACGGAACCCCGTGATGTTTGTCCTTCATTTCCTGTTTTCTTCGTGCCTAAGCCACCCTCTCACACCTCTGCCGTCATCTTCTCTTCGTCTTTCAACGCTTGTTGCCGCTCGAGCGCCTTCTCAAAGTGCTCCTGCTCTGCCAGGGCCTTCAAGTAGAGCTGGTGCATCTGCTCCAAAGCCCTCTCCAGATCCTCCACGCGCCTCTCTCGCGTCTCCACCGATTGCAGCTTCAGGCTGCTGCTGCTCTCAGTCTCAGCAACAGCTTGTTCCCGCATAGCGAGCTCCACTCGCGGATCGGTGGGCTCCGGGCTGTCGGTCTCGACCCAGATGCAGAGGCGGCGATCTTTCGCAGAGAGGTTGTAAGGGACAAGTCGGGCTCTGACACCCTTGGGGCACCGGGCGCAGCGGAGGGAATCGACAGTGCGTGGAGCCAAGGCCGCCTCGACATTCTCCTCCAGCAGCGTGGTGTACTCGGCCCAGCGGACGCCCTTGCGGCGTGCTGCGGTTTCGGCAGAAGCTGCAATGGAGCAGCCCAGTACGAGGTGGTCCAGGGTCTCCTTGTCTTTGTGAAGACGGACCAGGTCGGCGATGCCGCAATTCTTCTGGCTGGGACCCACAAACGCTGTCAAGGCAGGCGACATTTCGAGAATGTGCCCCGCTTCGATATCAACAGTGAGCCAGGCACCTCCAGTGCTGTTCAGCAGCTTCCTAATCGCCACTTGATTGCGAAAAACCTCTGCGTACGCCGAGCACCAGACGCGCTCCGCCAGGTAGACCGGAACCAACATGCAGGCGGCGACCAGGAAGCACGGGACACCTGGCACACCAGTCGTCTGCTGTAGGACGACCAGAGCTGAGCCATAGGCACCCAGAGCATACACGTCCCCGCTGCACAAGGTCACGAGGACGATGACCCAGAACATCGCCAAGTGCTCCGAGCACAAAGCATCACGGCGCTCCCAAGCGGACGTGCCCTCGTCCGCGGTCCCGATTACGCGCCAAGCGGCTCGCCAGGTGTGCTCGGACGCGGCAACGCCCAGAGCGACGTTAGGGAGGTTCGAAGACTCCATAAACCCAGGGGCGCAGCCAGCGAAACACAACAGCAAGCCGAAGATTACGTTGTTGAATGCCAGCTTCTCATCAAAGCCCTGCGACATCCCCTCGGCCAGCAGTGATGCGACGAAGATGGCCAAGGTCGTCAAAGCACGCAGGCGTCGGCGGCTCAGCATGCTCCAAGCGTAACCCGGGGTGGAGGGCAGGTTGTGTTGTTGCCACCAGTGGTACATCTTCGATCTGGGGAGACAGCAGACGATGTCGCGGTAGACTGGCATGCGCTGCGGCTGTTCCTCCGGAACTGTTTCGCCTTCGCTTCCCTGTGGGGTCACGCCGGCCTCAAGATCAGGTCCAGCTTCCAGCAGCAGCTCGGCCGCCGATGCCACTGCCATGACCTTCGAAAGGAAGGGCTCGCGGTTTCGATGCGACCCGCTCGAGCCGTCGCCACATTTTGCACAGTCCAAGGGTACACGGGGCTCTCATTTACTGGCCCACAACAAACACCCGAACATGGTTCGTACTGCAGTCACCAATCTATAATCTTACTGTTGGTTATGGTAGGGAATGAAGGAATGGGGTACCCTGTATAATCCCTTAAAGGGTATATATAGGGGGATATAGGGTACCTCATTCCCTCATTCCCCACTAACCAACAGTAAGTAGTCTCAGAGGCCCCGAAACCCCTCCTTGAGCTCCCCACGCCGTAATTGAGGGGGTGCCTTATTGGGGTCCTTCTTATACGGGAATCCTACTATTTGCGGGTTTATATTGGGTCCCTGATATGTTTCGTAAAACCCCTCGTAGCCTTCCGCATCTGTCAGCAGCAGTCCTATACACGCGAGAACACGCCGAGGAAACCCTTGGAAGCTCTCAGTGGTACAAGAGGCTCCCAAGGAGACCGGGGCGTCGAAATGCCTCCTTACACGCTTCTGTACAGGTCTCGCACGTGCGAAAGGCTTCATGTCTGCCTAGCCACAAAGGTGGCGTATCAAAAGGAAAGCTTCGAACTCTCTACATTCGCGCCTGACGCGAACCTACTCATGATTCCCAGCTGAAAGCCCTTCAGGAGTGGCCGCCTTCTGCTGGGGTACAGAGCTGGAGGGTGGAAGCCCTACAAGCAGCCAAAGACGCCCTTCACGTCCACGATTTCGTCCTGCAGCTGCTGCTGTCACCAGCCGACTGGCAACAAGAAACCTGGATGCAGCCAAGCGGCTCTTGTGGCACCACAAAGCCCGATGATTCCATCACCATGGCTCATGTCGCGAGAAGCACACGAAATCTCCCGGGCATTGAAGTTTGTTGAGTTGAAAGGTGGGATGTTCTCAGTGCGGTCCCCGAAGAAGTAGACGTCCTGGTCTAAGACGTCAATGCCTTGCTGCTTGTACCACCTGAGAGTTTACGAAAATAGGGGACCCTGAATTTAGAGCCCCAAAACAAGTATCCCCAATAATTAAGGCACCCCTAATCTATGAAACCCTAAGCCCTAAACCCTAAACCCTAAACCCTAGACCCCAAACCCTAAACCCTAAATCCCCACCTCACAATATCAGACACCGCGTTCTGCTTCTCCCCATCAGGCCAGCCAAGCACCTCGACAAGAAGAAACGGCAACAGTCAATGGGACTACCTGCGGCGTATTAAGGGTTTAGGGTTTAGGGTTTAGGGTTTAGGGTTTAGGGTTTAGGGTTTAGGGTTTAGGGATAGAGCATATATGGGTGGTTGTCAAAATTATGATCCCTTTTGGGGCAGCCTAAATGTTAGGTGCCGTATTACAATAAATCTCCAAAAAGGGACTATATTTTTGCCAACCACCCATATAGTGGTTTATATAGGGGAATAAGACGAAGGGTCCCTTCTAGGGGTCCCTCCTTGTGCCCCTTAAAACAGCACCTGTGAGTGTTCGAAACTCGTACCAAAACATACCTCCTGAGCCGAACACAACACAAAGTGGTTTCGGGCTTAGGGCTTCGGGTTTAGGGTTTAGGGATGTTTAGGGTTTTTGAAAGGCTTTGCAGCCATAGGAGCCAGCGGTGAATGCACGGTCCCAATACTCCACTGGGCGGCTTGAACGTTTGAGTGAAGCAATGCCTGGAAGGGCTTGCTAACAAGCACGTGCTGGAGCAAGTAGCTCCGCTTTCCTGAGTTGCGCCCTGTGGCAATGCCATGTGAGACAATTCCCATGTAGCACTTCTTGCAGAATGTGTTCTGCAGATTCTGGCCTGCTTCTGAGATGGTGAGAAAGCCAAGGCCATATGCCGTGTCCCAAACGCCAAAGATCTCCTTGTCCGCGGGACAATCATTTCTGGCAGTTCCCTGCTTTCCCGTCAGCGTCCTGTCAATATCAAAGACGCAGAGGCAGCTCGGTCCACTAGCAGTCGGCACATCGGGCGGCAATTGAGGTGGCTTGCGTAAGTTGCCACTAGCCTCGCCAGTACCATTGCCAGATGCCAGATTGGTTGGCTCGCCGGCTGCGAGCCAAGCCATTGCCAGAACAGTGAGGAAACTGTACATCGCCATGCCGGGCCGTGATGGTAGATGCGGGTGGCTGCGAAGAACAGCGCAAGGCGCAAGGTGTAAAACTGTCATTCACTGTTGTAAGTTTGTAGAGTGCTCCGGAGCTACACTATCACGTGAAGCAGACACGGGCAAACACGAGGGAGAACAAGTTGTTTGCCCACAAGTTGCTGTGCCTTGCTGCAGGATTCGAGGATGTGGGATTCTAGGGAAGTCCTACCCCTAAACCCTAAACCCTAAACCCTAGACCCTAAACCCTAAAACCTAAACCGCAGGACGGGCCTCACAGAGTGCCATCGGCCAGCTCGGCCACAAGAAGATCACTTTGCAAAGATACTTTCTTGTAGCTGATGCTTGGTCCTGCAGTAAGAAAAGACTTCTTGAGCTTCAACAAAAGGTAAATGTTTGACAATCATGGTAATAATAATGGTAATAATAATGGTAATAATAATGGTAATAATAATGGTAATAATAATGGTAATAATAATGGTAATAATATGAATAATAATATGAGAGTATGGAACGCCGGCCTGTCGGTTGATAGCCCAAGTCAAGGATAGGCTCGAAGCCATGATAGCTTGCTGAAAGGCAACCCCACAACTAAGCTGATGTGCCAGAACAGCTACGGCTTGTGCAAAGTGGAGGTGGAGTGTCTGTCTCTGTGGCTGGGTTGAAGACTATTTCCGACACCCGCGACGCTGCCTTTCCGTTGTTTGACTTTGACGTTAGTAGCGAACATTCTTGAAGCGCAATTGCTGTGCATCAAAAATCCGCTCACTCTCCCACCTACCCCACCAGCACGTACACGACATCTACATTTCATCCCCTACACCGCACAACTCACTCCGGCACCTAAACAGCACTGCCATCACGGCACAAACGATATGGAAAAAACACAGTTGAAATGTCGAAGTGCTTGCTTTCGGGATACTCGGTGTCTAGTGTTGGTATGATGCTTTAGGGTTGCCAGGGTTTGAGGAGTCAGGATTTTACAGTTTTGGGTTTTGGGGTTGGGGTTAACCGTTTGGGCTTGAAGCCGAAGATTCCTCAAAAGCCCGGATCTGCAGATCCAGAGGCACAGCGATTCAAAATTTAAAACTTCCCGTTTAGGGTTTAGGGTTTAGGGTTTAGGGTTTAGGGTTTAGGGTTTAGGGTTTAGGGTTTAGGGTTTAGGGTTTAGGGTTTAGGGTTTAGGGTTTAGGGTTTAGGGTTTAGGGTTTAGGGGTATACTGTATGTCAAGGCACAAAGCACAGCATGGGGATCGTAAACTCTGCTATATCATACTTGGGGGACCACAGCTCTTTCGCCCCTCCAACACCCGCAGAAAAGCGCCCCTAAGGCAGCCCTGAGTCACCCCTAAGGGTTTAGGGTTTAGGGTTTAGGGTTTAGGGTTTAGAGTTTAGGGTTTAGGGCAGCCTAACCCTAAAACCTAATCCTCCAGCAAGGACCCCGGAGCCGACCTGGACTATTTGGGGGCTCGAAATCCTTAGGGTCTCGGCTTTGGGGTTTATATACATACCCTTTTGTAAACCTACTATAGTATAGCTATAAAAGCATCACAATATGATTCTAGTACTATTATAGTAGTGAGGGCTTGAGGGTTGGGGATCTCGGATTCCATGAGCTATATAGTGTTCTAGTATTCTACTACCAGACTAGTATGACCCTCATACTATCTGCTTTTTCAGCATTGCGCCTTGACGGAGGCACTGCCAATGTAGGAGCAGCCACATGAGGAGGAGCACAGCCTAGGCCCAGCTTCAAACACAAAATAGTTTATAATCGCATACGATAATAGTATACTAGAATAGTATATCATCTAGTATACCATAAATAGTATACTATAATAAATAGTATGCTAGAAGAGTATACTATAACCAGTATTACCAGAAAAGTATCCGCGCAGTTGCAGTACGGCCACTAGCAGATGCACGGTGGAAGGCTGCGCAGGGGACTTTAATCAGTCTCAAGATCCGCCGCGGCTTCCAACAGCCGTCGCGCAATGTCATCGTGGCCAACAGCATGTGCCAGATCAAAGACTGTGTCGTTCTGCACATCCTTGTCGGTGGAGGCTTCCAACAGCAGTCGCACGATCTGGACGTGATTCCCCTCAGCGAACCCCGACGCACGATACAGGGCTGTACAGTCTTCACTATCCTGCACGTCCTTGTCGGCACCCGCTCCCAACAGCAGTCGCACAGTCTCACTGCAGCCGTCATACATGGAGGCATTGTGTAGGGCTGTCATGCCTGCACCATCCTGCACATCCTTGTCGGCTCCCGCTCTCAACAGCAGTCGCACAATCCCAACGTGGCCACTCTTTGAACTCTTTGATGCAAGATGAAGGGCTGTCCTGCTTTCACCATCCTGCATATCCTTGTCGGCACCCGCTCCCAACAGCAGTCGCACAATCTCAACGTGGCCACGCTCTGATGCAAGATGAAGGGCTGTCCTGCTTTCACCATCCTGCACATCCTTGTCGGCACCCGCTCCCAACAGCAGTCGCGCAATCTCAACGTGGCCACGCTCTGATGCAAGATGAAGGGCCGTCCTGCTTTCACCATCCTGCACATCCTTGTCGGCACCCGCTCCCAACAGCAGTCGCACAATCTCAACGTGGCCACGCTCTGATGCAAGATGAAGGGCTGTCCTGCTTTCACCATCCTGCACATCCTTGTCGGCACCCGCTCCCAACAGCAGTCGCACAATCTCAACGTGGCCACGCTCTGATGCAAGATGAAGGGCTGTCCTAAATTCCTCATCCTGCACATCCTTGACGGCCCCCGCTCCCAACAGCAGTCGCACAATCTCGACGTGGCCACGCTCTGATGCAAGATGAAGGGCTGTCCTGCATCCACCATCATGCACATCCTTGTCGGCACCCGCTCCCAACAGCAACCGCACAATCTCAACGTGGCCTTTCTTTGATGCACGATGCAGCGCAGAAGCTTGCCGCTCAGCCGTGTCGGCCCCTGCTCCCAACAGCAGTCGCACAATCTCAACGTGGCCACGCTCTGATGCAAGATGAAGGGTGTGGTCATGGTTGGCGCCGGCTCCCAACAGCAGTCGCACAATCTCAGATTGGCCACGCTCTGATGCAAGATGAAGGGCTGTCCTGCCTTCCTCGTCCTGCAAATCCTTGTCGGCCCCCGCCCCCAACAGCAGTCGCACGATCTCGGCATGGCCAAAGCAAGATGCATCGTGCAAGGCTGCCCGGGCCCTGCAGTCCTGTGCATTCTTGTCAGCGCCAGCTTGCAGAAAATAGCGTGACTCCAACACGTGGCCGCTCTCTATGGCATGGCGAAACTGATCCGAATACTCATCTCCGGAAATGCTGTGCAACACCAGCTGCACATCCTGTGGAACCTGTATCTTAGCAGTGTCCTGCAGAACTGTGCCGTCATGCAAGAACAGTTGAAGGCACGCTGGGATGCCGTACCTCTTTCGCAAGTGTTCCTTCAAGTCCAACCAGATATCACCGACCATTGAGACCTCTTCTTCTGATAGAGCGACCAGGTCCACGCCAGACGCCCAGAAAACACGCAACATAGCCATAGCCCACAAGAAAAAGCCTTCTTTGCTCCTAGGACGACACAGAGAGTCAAGGAGCTTTATGTCAACTTCACAACATCCCCCCCTGAAATAGCACGCAGGGTGCAAGGTAAGTTTCTCATGTTGGTCATAACCCGCTAGAGCTACCTCCCACCAAGAGCCGAAGGAAGGATCAACCTGCATCTCTTTACAAATCCTACTAGAGCGTAGCTGCTGGAATTTCCAAGGCTTCGGGGTCAGAGCTCAGGTTTCAGGGTTTAGGGCTTCGGGCTTGAGGGTTTAGGCTTCAGGGTTTAGGGTTTATCGGCTTTCGGGTTCAGGCTCGAATGTGGGCACTTTGTTCCTTGTGGCGCCCTGAGATAGGACTTCTCACACATTGGGGGTCCCAAACCCTAAAGCCTGCTCTTCGGGCCGTTTTTTAGGGTGCGACTGTCTCTGGGGTTTGTTTCAAGGCTCTAGCGGCGGCCCCAAGTACCATTTTTGTACTATAGTACTATAGTACTGTAGTATTATAGGATTATAGGATTACAGTAATATAGTATCATAGTATTATAGTATTTTTGTATTATAGTATTGTAGTATTTTTATAATATAGTATTGTAGTAATATAGTATTATAGTATTCTAGTACTCTAGCCTTGTAGTATTATCGTATTATAGTATTATAGCATTATAGTATTATAGTATTATAGTATTATCGTATTATAGTATTATAGAATTATCGTATTATAGTATGAAGGTATTATAGTATTTTAGTATTATAGTATTATAGTATTATAGTATTATAATATTATACTATTATAGTATTATAGTAGTAGAGTATTATAGTATTGTAGTATTATAGCAATATAGTATTATAACATTGTAGTATTATATCATTATAGTATAATAATAATATAGCAGTAGAGTTTTATAGCATTATTATACTAGTCTAGTACCATTATAGTATTGTGGTACGCAAAGATCAGTAGGATCCTTCACATCAGCCGTAATCCTAAGCCCCTTAAACCCTTGTGGGTGTAGGGTTTAAGGTCTCTGACTCTAAACCCTAAACCCCTAAACCCTAAACTCCAGAAGATGCTTGAGGGTTTTAGGGATCAAGGGGTTCAGGGTTCAGGGCTTAGCATCATGCCAGAAAGAAGGCTACAGTATACTACACTCGCAGACGATGGTGCCCGGTCTACTGTACTGTAATTACTGCAGTCTGTTCTAGCAAAAGCAAGATCTACTCTACTGCGGAAGTGCATTGGACGAGCGACATGCACAATGCAAGGCTGGGCAGCGCAGAGGATGCAGCAGGGTCAAGCACAATTTACGCAGGCAGGCTATCACGACCCCGAGGAGTGTGCACTTTCAGTTCTCGTGTCGGGAGTCTGGAGCGTGAAACGAGCCGAGTGCCTGGGGAGCAAGGGTTGAGCCAGTACAACACAGTACAGCATTAACCCTAAACCCTGAACCCTAAAACCATGTAAACAGCACGCCCCTTCTCAAGGAAACGGACTACGCGTCAGGGGCAAGAGTTTCTTCTCTAGCACGAGTCCGGCACCGTCGTCACCAGCCGCGCTCGAGATTGGTGGTGGTGAGGGTTTAGTTAGGGTTTAGGTTTAGGGTGTAGGGTTTAGTTAGGCCGAGGGTTTAAGCTTAGGGTTTAGGGTCACGGTTCCTTTTGACTGCGAGGGCATGTCAGACGGTAGCCTTTCATGGCATCTTGTCGGGGAGGTGAAACAGTACTACATACCTGCCCCAGTCACCGCGAAGAACGGCCAAGCCCGCGTCAACAAGTGACCCTAAAACCTGGAATGGTTGTTTCAGTGTTGTTTCTGTTGGGGTTCATGGTGTAGGGGCCTAGGGCTTAAGGCGTGGGCCCAGCGATCCACCAGAATATGCCGTCCGGACCGACTTGCAACTGCTGGCCAGGAGGCAAGTTCCTGTCAGGGAGCTGTTTTTGAGTTTAGGGTTTAGGGTTTAGGGTTTAGGGTTTGGGGTTTAGGGTTTGGGGTTTAGGGTTTAGGGTTTAGGGTTTGGGGTTTAGGGTTTAGGGTTTAGGGTTTAGGGTTTAGGGTTTAGGGTTTAGGGTTTAGGGTTTAGGGTTTAGGGTTTAGGGTTTAGGGTTTAGGGTTTAGGGTTCATCTGGGGCCCCCACTTCGAACTTGTGTGTTGGCTACAGGTAGAGCCATGTCGACTGTCCATGGACGGCCCATTCCTTTCTAAGCATGTCAGGATGAGGGCCGCTCTGAATCCTTCAGGTCGTACAGAAAGACTGCAGCTCTGCTTATAACTTTCTAACGAGGCACCTGTGCACGGCCTGGACCAGATCAAATGCATGTGGCAAACGGTAGTCATGGCCAGCAACAATACCACCCGGCCGAACGCGAGGGCCCCAAAGCTTAAGGTCCTGATCCACCGAGGCGTAATCATGCGCGCCATCGATGAACACGACGTCCAACTTTGTGGCGGCCCATCGTGATCGACAGGAGTGCAAGGGACTTCTGCTCGCTTGCGCGGAGGTGCGTCGGCAAAGGTGCGCCCTTTGGCCAAATCTTCGCAGCTTTCGCAGGGATGTGCGGAAATTCTCTCCAGATCCATAGCTCAAGATTCCGTCCCTCACCGCCTTGCCCTCAAAGTGACCCTTATATGGATCTATTCCCAAATATTGCAATAGTGGATTCCTGCGCAAAACATGGACGGCGAGCTCAGCCTTGTGAACGCCGACCTCCACCATGTAAATCTTCGAGGTATCTGGGAATGCCAGGCGAAGGAGCGAGCTGAATGACGCGCCTTGCAGGTCCACGCTGCCATCCAACTGGCTCGGATCCATGTCCGGGAGCAGGTCGGGCAGCCTCGGAGGAGGCCCGGGAGGAGGCGCCAGGCTCCACATCAAGGCCATCTCTAACTGCACCTGGGTGGTTCCGTCAAAATTCTGACCCCTTTTGGGGTACCCTCCTAAATATTAGGCGCCGTATTATAATAGGGATCCAAAAAAAGACCATAATTTGGACAGCCACCCACCTGAACTACCCAAGACCAGGTGGTCAGGATTGCAGTAAGCCGAGCCAGACGCTCATGTAGCCTCCAGCAGGACCAAAGCGCCCCGCATCTCTCCGATGCTGCCACGGTCGGGCTGGGGAGGTGTAGGCACAGCCGTGACACTTCATTCCAAAAGACCGACTGCATGACCTGGATGGCTCTCTCCGCAGCTTCCCAAACCCGTGGAAACTCGGCGGCCACTTCGCCTGCCTTGGAGCTGTGCAATCGCTGAGGAAACGCTTTGGCATGGTGACTCAGCTCTGCCACTGTCCAATCGCACACCGCGTCGAAGCCTGTCCAATGGTGCAAGTCCGCCGAGCACTCCTCAGCGAGATGGCCCATGAGGATCATCAGCAAGAGCACAGACCCATCCCAATGCACGGCCACCGACAAGATGGAGCTAGCTGCCAGGGCAGCCGCCGGGGGGATCTCCATCCGCTCCAGAGCCTTGTCTAGCGCCAGTGTGGAGTTCCGGAAACGCGGCTCTGTCCAGTCCGGCGGCAGCCAGCAGCCCATGGTGCTGGCTCCAGGAAGAAACGATGTTGCCCTGCTTGCAGGAAGACAATCCTGAGGCCCTAAGATTTTCGAAACACACAGTTTGGGCTCTTTGGTAGGGGGGCCCCTCTGAGGCAGTATCCTGACAGTGCAAACTTGGGTTGCCCGCATTGAAACAGGATTGAACTTCAGACCTAGCCCGAATTTGAACATGGTCGTGCGCCAGCTTGAGTCTGATCTAGGTGAGCATCAGCCTGGTCAACAGCAGCGAGCCAATGGCACTGGGGGGTTACTCAACTGAACTCGTCTAAGCTATCCCCTCTCCAATCCCAAACCCTTAACTAAGCCCTATAAAACCTAAACCCTAAACCCCTAACCCCTAAACCCTAAACCCTAAACCCTAAACCCTAAACCCTAAACCCTAAGGGTCAATCTCGAAGTTCAGCTTTGGAAGTCGAAGGCTCAGGAGTTCAGGCCGCTGAAGTTCAAGAGCCTCGGTTTGAGATTGGCTTGAGACTGTGTTAGGGTTTAGGGTTTAGGGTTTAGGGTTTAGGGTTCAGGGTTTAGGGTTTAGGGTTTAGGGTTTAGGGTTTAGGGTTTAGGGTTTAGGGTTTAGGGTTTAGGGTTTAGGGTTTAGGGTTTAGGGTTTAGGTTTAGGTCCCCCTTACCCTACACCCTGTTGTAGAGGTTTGGGCTTTGGCTTCTAGTGTCTGGGGATTGGGGATTTCAGGCCTTTCGAGGGTATGGGGGGAAGCTTCTGCCGTGGAGACGCAGCATCGAGGTTACGAGGGACCTGGGGCCTACGATATCTAATAAGGGTCGGACCAGCGCCGGAATAGTTACTCATGGTATCCCCTCATAGTCCCTATACAATATGCGAATCAGAACCCCAAAAGAAACCCTATTCTGATCATTCAGGCTTCTAGGTTGCATGAAGACGCAAGTGTGCTGCAGCTTTCTCCGTCTGCATGCCGCCATCACAAGAGTCCTACATGACAGCAAGACATGGTGCTGTTGCCAGCTTCCTGACCTTCCATCAGCACGCCGCACACTTTCAGTGGGATGCAGGTTCTTCCTACTTTTCCTTTCTTGTATATCTTGATTCATTTTCTTCGAGGGCCCTAGGGGGCGAAGCCCCGCGCAGTGCACAGGACTTCTTTCTCTTCTTCTTCTGCTGGGGTTGGGCATGAGGGCAGGGGCTTCCCCGCACGCAGTTGCCACCCAGGAGCCCCATGCATGACCTCTCTCCTTCCTCTCCTCCTCCGAGGGCTTGTAAGATCAGGGGGGTCGTCCCCGTCACCCCGCGCTTCAGCGCACTCTGGTTTCCACTTCTCCTTACAACTACGTCCCTCCTACGATCCTGAGGCACGATTGGCCGCTCGCATCAGCCACTCATTCAACGGCTCATCGTCTGAGGCACGATTCTCCGCTCGCATCAGCCACTCATTCAACGGCTCATCGTCGGAGTCCAGTGCTCCAACACCCGCTGCGGCAGCCACGTAGTCGCCTTCAGCAAGAGCATCCGGGGCGGGCACGCCATCATCGGGATCGTCGTCAGACGGGTCCTCCTCGCAGTCGTCCCCTTGGTTGCACTTCTGAATTCAAACTCGATTCAACCACCGAGCGCAATGTACCACCCAAACGTAGTCTTATAAAAGACCTGCAGACCCTAGACCCTAAACTCTAAACCCTAACCCGGAACCCTATAAACAACAGACCCAAGTCTCCAAAGCCGTGGAGAATGCGCTTGAGGCCACACTGTCGCTCGAAGGGCATCTCCGGCGCGTGCGGGGCACACTCGGCGCCCTGGTGGAACTGGAACTGCACCTTGAGGAGCTGGCCCCTTAGCGCAGGCTTGCGTTTAAAAAGCGGAAGGATTCTGTTCATTTTGAATCTATCTATGTAAATATATATATATGTACCTAATATTAATATCCATCTTCAGATGAGAATGAGTTTTTTAGTATAAACAGCAAATACTAAGATGTGACGTTCAGGACCTCAAGACACCAGCGGCAGGAGCTGCCCTTGCCGGCAGCTGCTCTGGCAGCACCACACCACCGACATCATCACCAAAAACATACTAAATACAGCACTCCTTTTGTTATTACATCGAGGTGCTTCAGCGTCCTGCGCTCCAGCTTGCGGTCGGCCGCACGGGACACGTCCCAGAACTCCTTGTCCGGCAAGCGCTTCTGGCAGCTCTTCTGCTTGGCGGGGCGCTCACCCTCCGGAGAAAACCTGCCGAAGAGCTTCTTGCCATCGGCCTGCTTCTCCCAGAAGCCACGCAGGACGCGGTACAGGAAGTCTGGCCCCACGACGTGTCGGACATTGGAGACTGTCATGATCAGCCTGTTGCACCGTCGACATGTAACGGCCCACCGGTGCCTGACATGCGTGTCAAGCGGTCCCCTCATCTTGCGCTTCTGCGCGTTCCTTCCAACCAGTGTCCTGCGAAGCACATGCGATATCAGGGCACATGTCTCCGATTTTAAACTCGTGTGCTTGTAAAGATCGAATGCTTTTGCAGCTCATAACTCAACTCTGCTCGGCACAACCAGCCCTGCTTCGCCTGTGGACTGGGGCAGGAGGGTTGTAGTCCGAGGGGTGCTCGACTGGCACGCGAGCGGCAGCCCGCTTGGGGGCTGCACGCCTCTTGGCCGCGGCAGGCTCGCGCAGGGCTGGCAGGGTCGCCACCTCTTGCTGGTCCTGCAGGGTCTTGCGGAAGCATTAAACCCTAAACCCTAAACCCTATGTAGATCCTGCCGTGGTTGAGGGTTCAAGGTCAAGCAAGTTGAAGGCACGCGGGCTTCGTGCGCAATTTCTTACATATGCCACCTGCTGTGGAATGCAGTCCGACTCCGGCCATGCGGCAAACCCTGCTGTAAAACATGGTAACACGCATTCTGGTGTGCCCTGCACTTTTTGGCATGCATTGGGGCGTGCGCAGGCTCAAAAGTGCAAAAAACCTAAGGTTTCAGACTAATTCCGGTTGTGGGAGCCAGGAAGAAACAGCACAGATTCCTAGACGGGCCTCAGTATTCTTAACCAAAGCACAAACCCTAAAAGTACGTACCAGTGCGAAAGACGCTTGGCTCCGGAGTCGTCCGGTAGCCCGTTGTGATGCTAAGTTGAAAGCGGGGCTCGCACGTGTGTCTAACAGTCTAACACCTATAATTCGCCATGGACAGCGATTTTTTCTTATGCTGACCCCGCTTTTTCCTATGCTGCTTGCCTTCGCGATTTTCATTTTATGCTGCACCACGCTTTTTGTTATGCCCTTCCGGCTCCTGTTATGCTCAGGGCGTTTTTCTTATGCTGAAGGTGTTTCTTTTTATGCTGCCCAGTTTCTCCTGTTAGGCTTGGAATTCTGTGTCTGGGGCCTACCTTGGGCCCCCGCATAACAACTTGTAGGGCTTAAGGAGCTCCCTGGGCAAAAGGACCTTTTCCTGAACCTATACCGTAGGGTTTAAGGTTTAGGGTAGGTTTGAGTTGTGTGTGTGTGTGTGGTTTCAGGTAGGCTTGTCTGTTGTCTTTGAGGACGTCCCCAAATCAAAAGCTTGATGACTGTGCAATCGAGCCCGGCCTGCAAAAATTTGGTTTGGCTTGGGCTTGGTTTGGGTTTGGCTTTGTCATTAGTGGGGAGTTTGGTGCTGAGTGAAACCCCCCCCTCCGCGCCCCCCCCCCCCCCCCACCCTCCGCCCCCCCCCCCTCCGCCCCCGCCCCCTTTCCCCCCCTCCCCCCACCCCAAACCCCGAGAAGCGCGCGAGAGTGCGTCTTACCCAAAACATGAACAGGGTTTGGGGGTTAGGGTTTAGGGTTTGGGGTTTGGGGTTTGGGGTTTGGGGTTTGGGGTTTGGGATTTGGGGTTTGGGGTTTGGGGTTTAGGGTTAGGGTTTACGCAGTTTGTCTATGCACGTCGCGTCCTCGGAGTGCTCCCCATCTGTGTCAGCCTCCACATCCGAGTTACCCCAGTCCAGGTAACCAAACCTGCACGCAAAGTCGGCTTTTTTTGCATCTGAGGCTGAGGAGGCCTCAGGGTTTAGGGTTTAGGGTTTAGGGTTTAGGGTTTAGGGTTTAGGGTTTAGGGTTTAGGGTTTAGGGTTTAGGGTTTAGGGTTTAGGGTTTAGGGTTTAGGGTTTAGGGTTTAGGGTTCATGTTACAAATACAAGTAAGGATGTAGAGTTGACATGGGCCTGGCCCAAATCTGCCAAGCCTCCCTTCGAGACAGATCCCAGGCCCAACAGTTTATATGTCACCCTGGACCCTCAACCCGAAAAAACCTGAAGGGTTGGGGTTTAGGGTTTAGGGGTTTAGGGGTTTAGGGTTTAGGGTTTAGGGTTTAGGGTTTAGGGTTAAGGGTTTAGGGTTTAGGGTTTAGGGTTTAGGGTTTAGGGTTTAGGGTTTAGGGTTTAGGGTTTATGGTTTAAGGTTTAGGGTTTAGGGTTTAGGGTTTAGGTTTTAGGGTTTAGGGTTTAGGGTTTAGGGTTTAGGGTTTAGGGTTTAGGGTTTAGGGTTTAGGGTTCGCCAGCGCAGCTGGCGCCCTAGCCAATTCGCCGAAGGCGTGGCACCCCCCCTCCCCCCAGGAACCAACCCCAACCTCAAAGATTCTAAACCCGATTTGAGTTTTCCTTCGCCAATCCCAGATCTTCTAAACCCGATTTGAGTTCCGAGCCTGGGAAACCCGCCCAACGGGCAATTTTGAAGGATTTTGGGCTATTTTTGACCTTTGTCAGACCTCCAGGGCCCGCGGTAAACAGATGTGTTTGCAAAACGCTTTTTGGAAACAAATTAGTTTTCCGTGTTTTTGGCTTCTCGGACGCCCCCCCGCAAGCTATTGCAGCCCTTACCTTCTAAACCCTCCTAAAACCCTCCTAATAAACCCTTCGAAACCCTTCTAAACTTTTCGAAACCCTGCTAAACCCTTCTTCTGACTCCTTCTGAACCCTTCTAAACCCTTCTAAATAAACCCTTGTAAGCCTTTAAAAGACTATTTCTAAGCCCTTCTAAAAAGCTTCTAAGCCCTTCTAAAAACCTTCTAAACCCTTCAAAACCCTTCTAAGCCCCTTTAAACCTTCGAAACTCCTTCTAAACCTAAAACCCTTCCAAGCTTTTCTTTCACCCGTTTAAACCTTTCGAAACTTTTCAAACCATTCCTAATCTTTTCTAAACCTTCGAAACACTTCTAAACCTCTTCTAAAGCACTTCTTGTAAGCCCTTCTAAAACCCTACTAAACCCTTCTAATCCCTTCTAAGTCCTTCCAAACCGTATGAAACCCTTCGAAACCCTTGAAACCCTTCTAAAACTTTCCCAACCATTTCTAAAGTCTTCGAAACCCTTCCACAACCGTCCCTTCTAAACCCCATGGAAATACCCCAAATGGCCATTTTCGTGACCTTTGACCCGTCTGGACCTTCACAAACCCTCAACCTAGCGCTTACTTAAGCATAAGTGTTTTTGGTAGTGGTTGTTGAGGTTTTTCGGCCAGGAGGTTTAAGTAAATTGAAAATATGGACCAACGAGTTTGAGTAAATCGGAGATTCTTAGGAAATTGTTGGTGAAATATAGGAATTTTGGCTACGTAGTGCCTTTTGATGCTTTTCGGCAAAGAGGTTTGCGTATATTGGAATCTGGACCAACATTTTGTAGAGATCGGGGAAGCAAATGTAGTTGGACCTCAACTGCGAAACTTTTGGTTTAACCAATATTCTGCGCTGGCGCATCAGGGCGAAGCCTCTAAAATTTAGGGTTTAGGGTTTAGGGTTTAGGGTTTAGGGTTTAGGGTTTAGGGTTTAGGGTTTAGGGTTTAGGGTTTAGGGTTTAGGGTTTAGGGTTTACGGTTTAGGGTTTAGGGTTTAGGGTTTAGGGTTTAGGGTTTAGGGTTTAGGGTTTCGGGTTTCTGGTTTCGGGTTTAGGGTTTAGGATTTCGAGTTAGTTTTAGGGTTTAGGGGCACCCTCCAACCCAACCGAGCTCCCCCAGCTGAGCCTCGCGGCTGCGCCGGCAGTGAGCTGGCTGTCCTGGCAGAGATCAAAAGCCCCCTAAACCCTAAACCCTAAACCCTAAACCCTAAACCCTAAACCCTAAACGCCCTAAACGCCCTAAACGCCCTAAACGCCCTAAACGCCCTAAACGCCCTAAACGCCCTAAACGCCCTAAACGCCCTAAACGCCTAAACCCTAAACCAAAGCAACTAAAGCCCTTGAACCCTAAAACCCTGAAACTCCCTAGAACCCCAAAACTAGGAAAGCTCCCTACATTCCCTGAAAACCCTGAAGCCCGAAGCCCCCCAAAACCCCCCCCCACACACCCCAAGAATAACCCTAACGTAACCCTACCAAATAAGCCTACAATAGCCCTAAATCACCCTACAAAAGCCCCCCAAAACTCGAAGAATATGGCGAAACCCGGGTTTCGCCTCTAACACTCCCTCCCTCAAAAACTCCCTAAAGTTCTAAAACTTCCTAAAACTCCCTAAGCCTCCCCCAAAAACCTCCCAACCCTAAACCCTAAACCCTACACCCCAAACCCTAAACCCTACACCCCAAACCCTAAACCCTAAACCCTAGACCCTAAACCCTAAACCCTAAACCCTACGGCGCCACCTCGGGCTCCAGCTCCGCTTCGAGCTCGGCGGCCGGAAGCTCAACGAGTTGCTCCACGGGCTCCTGAAGCAGCTACTTGGAGGTCGGTTTTTGGGGGTTTAGGGTTTAGGGTGTAGGGTTTAGGGTTTAGGGTTTAGGGTTTAGGGTTTAGGGTTTAGGGTTTAGGGTTTAGGGTTTAGGGTTTAGGGTTTAGGGTTTAGGGTTTAGGGTTTGGGGCTTAAGGTTTAGGGTTTAGGATTTTAGGGTTTAGGAGCTGTTTTCGGGGTCTATTTCTGGGGAATTTTTCGGGGCTACTTTTAGGGTTGTTTTTGGGGATTATTTTGTGGCAATTTTGGCGAGGGTTGTTTTGAGGCTGCTTTTGGGCTGATTATGGGGCTATTGTGGTGCGTTGTTGCGGCTGTTATCATTCTGGTGCTATTTTTTTCGGGGGTTGTTTAGTTTTGGGGCTGTTTTTTGGGTTGTTTGGGGAGCTTTTTGGGGTTGTTTTGGAGCTCGTTTTTGGATTATGTTTCGGGCTGTTGTCTGTTCTGGGGTTCGGGCTACTTAGGGCTACTTTGAACGTCTCAGGATTACTTAGGGTTATGTTGGGTCTTATATTTAGATTATTCAGGACTTCGGGCTTATATGGAGGGTACGGCGTTAAACAGAGGATTTGTGGGGCATTTTGCCTTTGAGAGAGCTGGATCTTGGACCAAAAGACTGCCACTTGCACCATGAACAAACCCTAAGAGTTCTAAAGGCCCCCATCTCCCAAAAGACCCTAAACCCTAAACCCTAAACCCTGAACCCTAAACCCTAAACCCTAAGAGCTCTAAAGGCCCCCATCTCCCGACCGAGTGAGGCCGCACCTGAGCACGTGGCACCAACTGCACCTGCTCCCGGGCTCGGGGCACCAGCTGCACTGCTGGGGGTGCTGGGCGTGGGCCGCGTCGGCCAGTGTGCAGATACCTACTTGGAGGTTCATGGGACTTATGAACCAATTGAGAACTGTACTGATAACCCCTCTTCAGTGCCCCAATATGGGTATACAAGTATAGTTATAGGCAGGGTTTAGGGCTGAAGCTTATGAAGCCCAAACCCTCGAACCCAGAACTCCCACTCCATGCAGGTTCCGATTGGCACAAAACTGCCAAACTGAGCGCAAGGTACTTGCACACCGGATTGAAGGGACACTCCCGCCAGGTCTGCCAATAGTCGCAAACATCGACATGCACAAAATCGCACTTACCGCCGCTCTTCCGCTCGCCCATGCTGCATCGGCCAGTTAGGGCATACTCGCGGCAGTAGCTCTTGTGCCTTAGTAGCCCAGTAACCATATGATGCTAAGGGCACCCTTTTTGGGGGTTGGCTACTTTATTATAATGAGGGAACCTTGAACATCCAAAAAAGAGAAATAAGGGCACCACGGGACTACCAAGGCGCTCGAATGGGCACCTGGTACCCCTTTCGCACTCCTTGCTGTTTCGGTGCATGTACTGGCGGCAGAACTTCTTCAGGTCGATGCGCTTGCGAGCCCGTTCTTCGGCAGCCATGGCGGTGAGTGGGCATGAAGATCTCGGCGGAAGATCCTTTAGTCACTCGGGGACTTACGAACAGAAGGGACCCTGATATGGACCCCCAAATTTTAGGATTCCCTTGTAATAAGGACCCCAATAAGGCACCCCCTACATTCGTAAACCCCCACTCTAGTTCTCTTGTGATGCCGCAGTGCTTCTGTAATGCCGAGGCACTTAGCAGCAGCTAACACAGATGCTTTCGTCGGCCATGCAATCTAGCTTGTGTGTCAAGCCTCCACGCCTGCACGCATTGACGTCATGCCATCTCTACTAGGTTAAGGGTTATAGGATTTAGGGTTTAGGGGTTAGGGTTCCCTGATTTGGTGGGGTGTGAACCAGAAATCAAAGCCCTAGAGCAAGATCATCACCCTCAGCCACATCAAGCACTGGAGCTAAGCCTAGGAAACAAGGCCTATCTGGCGCAGGTTAAATATGCTGCTGATCATCGGATCTCAAGCAGCCTCCTGCAAAGGAAGCTCACCCTAAACCCTAAACCCTAAACCCTAAACCCTAAACCCTAAACCCTAAACCCTAAACCCTAAACCCTAAACCCTAAACCCTAAATCAGAGATGATGAGAACTAGTCGGGGACATCAGGGCCCTTGCTGCGGCCTACATCGCGCCACCGGAGTAGTGACACATGTAAACTTGTACCTGCCGTCCCATTCCCTGTTTGCACAAAGCGTTGGGGGGGGAGGGGGGGGGGGGGGGGGGGGTGGGGGGGGGGGGGGGGTAGTGGGGGTGGGGTAGGGGGGGGGGGGAGGGGGGGGGGGGCAAACCCTAAACCCCAAACCCGGGGGGGGGGGGGGCAGGCTTTTCACCGCGATATCCTCATAATCCGAAAGTTTCAGAAGCCGGGCCCGGCGTCGGGTGTGCCGAATTTTTTGGAGAGCTTTTGATCGCCCATTAAACAACTAGAGGATAGGATTAGGGGGACCCTTGGGATATAGGTTCCCTTTTAAGGGCCCCCCCTAATCCTACCCAGGAACAATGCAAGGAAGCTAAGGCTTGTCATCCAACTTGTTTGTCCGCCAGGCAAGTCATTTTAATTTTAGGGTTTAGGGTTTAAGGGGTTTAGGGTTTAGGGTATAGGTTGAAAAATGTCGAGCGGGAAAGGTGTTGAAGGACATGCCACGTGAGGCTCTCTCTCTATAGCCACTAGGCAGGCGGCGGCCTGAATTAGAGTCCTCCACTTTGCATTGACAATAAGGCATTCTGCGCATTTATAAAGTTAACTGCGTGTATAAGGTATCCACTTGAAGGGAGTCCAGCTCGAAGCCCAAAACCCAAGCCCGCAATCGAGAGCCCTGATCCGGGATGATCCGGGTGAAGCACGTCGAGGAACCTAGGCCCCAGCTTCACTGTAGCGGTAGGCCACGGCGCCATCCACCTGCTGGGTTTAGGGTTTATAGGGTTTAGGGTTTAGGGCCCCCCCCCCGAATTCTGCATGTGTTTGTTGAAGGCAACTTGGATCAAATTGGTGCATGCGGCCGTGCAGGGACATGGTTATGGTTCGATCATGTCCGAACAAGTTCACAAGCCTCGCAGCTCTCGCAGGTATCTTATAAGCTTCCAAGTGCATGTTCCGGAGTTTCACCTGCCTAGGCTCGCCCTAAACCCTAAACCCTAAACCCTAAACCCTAAACCCTAAACCCATCTCCACACCTTGTGGATCTTGGTCGTGAAGGAGCGGAGCTTCACCTCCTCGCTCTCGCCTTGAAGGCTTCGGTTCAAAGGGAGAAGGCTACGGGGAAACTGAGGCCTTCATCTCCTAGGGCTTTTGCGGGTTTAGGGTTTAGGGTTTAGGGTTTAGGGTTTAGGGTTTAGGGTTTAGGGTTTAGGGTTTAGGGTTTAGGGTTTAGGGTTTAGGGTTTAGGGTTTATAAATAGGGCCTGGGGACCGCGAGTACCTCCCCACCATAGCGCCCCGGAACCGCATGTGCCCTTTGGGCCTTCCCAGGCTGTTCTTCGCTGGGGCTCTACCCTGCTCTGAGCCTCTGGGCATTGACTTTATGACGTCGTGCTGAGTGTGTCGCTGTGGAGGTGGGGAAGGTGGGGAGAAGACGTGCATCAACGCATCCTCCTTCTGTCATCTGCAAAGGCTTCTCTGTCTTAGGGGCTGAATACTAGCTCAAAAAAGGTTAACCTTTAATTTGTCATCGCAATTAACCAAAAAAGCTAAAGGTAAACTACCCAGCCCCTTCTCTTTCTCACGTGCAAACTTCTGGATTCTGGAAATCTCGGAAGGCCTTCTTGGCCCTTGAAACCAATACAGGGGTTTCAATTTGGAGGGGATCAACGGAAGCCCCCTGAAACCCACATCTTAACATCAAAGGATTCAAAGTGCGGAGCATAGTCCGCAGCCCCGTATGTCACACCTCTGCCGTCATCTTCTCTTCGTCTTTCAACGCTTGTTGCCGCTCGAGTGCCTGCTCAAAGTGCTCCTGCTCTGCCAGGCCCTTCAAGTAGAGCAGGTGCATCTGCTCTAGAGCCCTCTCCAGATCCTCCACGCGCCTCTCGCGCGTCTCCACCGATTGCAGCTTCAGGCTGCTGCTGCTCTCATTCTCAGCAACAGCTTGTTCCCGCATAGCGAGCTCCACTCGCGGATCGGTGGGCTCCGGGCTGTCGGTCTCGACCCAGATGCAGAGGCGGCGATCTTTCGCAGAGAGGTTGTAAGGGACAAGTCGGGCAGTCGGGCTCTGACACCCTTGGGGCACCGGGCGCAGCGGAGGGACTCGACAGTGCGTGGAGCCAAGGCCGCGTCGACATTCTCCTCGAGCAGCGTGGTATACTCGGCCCAGCGGACGCCCTTGCGGCGTGCTGCTGTTTCGGCAGAAGCTGCAATGGAGCAGCCCAGTACGAGGTGGTCCAGAGTCTCCTTGTCTTTGTGAAGGCGGACCAAGTCCGCGATGCCGCAGCTCTTCTGGACGGGACCTACAAAGGCTGTCAAGGCAGGCGACATCTCGAGAACGTGCCCTGCTGCGATGTCGATAGTGAGCCAGGCACCTCCAGTGCCGCTCAGCAGCTTCTTAACCGCCAGTTTATTGCGATAAAGCTCGGCGTACGCCGAGCACCAGACGCGCTCCGCCAGGTAGACCGGAACCAACATGCAGGCGGCGACCAGGAAGCACGGGACACCTGGCACGCCAGTCGTCTGCTGTAGAATAACCAAAGCTGAGCCATAGGCACCCAGAGCATAAACGTCCCCGCTGCACATGATGACGAGGACGATGACCCAGAACATCGCCAAGTGTTCCGAGCATAGTGCGTCGCGCCGCTCCCAAGCGGAAGTGCCCTCGTCCGCGGTACCGATCACGCACCAAGCGGCTCGCCAGGTGTGCTCGGACGCGGCAACGCCCAGAGCGACATCTGGGAGGTTTGAAGACTCCATCAACGCAGGGGCGCAGCCAGCGAAACACAAAAGCAAGCCGAAGATTACGTTGTTGAATGCCAGCTTCTCATCAAAGCCCTGCGACATCCCCTCGGCCAGCAGTGATGCGACGAAGATGGCCAAGGTCGTCAAAGCACGCAGGCGTCGGCGGCTCAGCATGCTCCAAGCGTAACCCGGGGTGGAGGGCAGATTGTGTTGTTGCCACCAGTGGAACATCTTCGATCTGGGGAGGCCGCAGACGATGTCGCGGTAGACTGGCATGCGCTGCGGCTGTTCCCCCGGAACTGTTTCGCCTTCGCTTCCCTGTGGGGTCACGCCGGCCTCAAGATCAGGTCCAGCTTCCAGCAGCGGCTCGGCCGCCGATGCCATTGCTAGCACCTCCTCGCGATATCGATGCGACAACAGCTCGAGCCGTCGCTACATTTAGGACATAGTTTCCGGGCCTCAAGGCCTCACGATGACTCTTGGAATGCGCAAGAGACACTCTCCCAGGGAGAAGGCTCACACCACCAAGACTCTCAGTGTCTCACCGACGATGTACTTGGGATCACTCTCCGCCCAGGCTGAAGGAACCTCCGAGATGCAGGTACTAAAGGGGCCTTAATGATTAGAAGAGGGTTTTGGGGGGGTGTGATTGTGGTATACTTATAGAGGGGCCATAGGGGAATAAGATTTGTAATTATTCCGACCCCTATTTTACAAGGGGCGTTGATCCGAATGGTGACCCATTCTTGGTACCCCTGCCCTAAACCCTACTAGGTCCCGTAGGTTAAAGGTCAACCCCCATGAAGCCGGGAGATCAGATCTCTTTAAACTCCAACAACAGGAAGTTCAGACTTCACCCTAAACCCTAAACCCTAACAGGATCACGGGTCAAGCTGCCTCGGCACCACGGTCTGTGTAGATCAGGAGGTCGAAAGCACAAGGCCTTAGCAGCAGAAAGGCACACCGTGGGGCGCCGGTGTTAGGGTTTAGGGTTTAGGGTTTAGGGTTTAGGGTTTAGGGTTTTGGGTTTTGGGTTTTGGGTTTTGGGTTTACTGTTTAGGGTTTAGGGTTTGTTTAGGGTTTAGGGTTTAGGGTTTAGGGTTTAGGGTTTCGGGTTTCGGGTTTAGGGTTTAGGGTTTAGGGTTTAGGGTTTAGGGCTTAGGGTTTAGGGTTTAGGGCTTAGGGTTTAGGGTTTAGGGTTTAAGGTTTAGGGTTTAGGGTTTAGGGTTTAGGGAGCTTGTGTTTTGCGGGCTTTGTGAAAAACAATAGGCACTGCTTTGTCTTGACCTGACGCGTTTATTAGGCGCTACTTCTTTGCTGAGATCGCAGCAGGGTTCCCCGATTGAACCTCTGCCGCTTGTGCGACACGTGGTGACAGAGCCCAAGCTGACAGAGAGACAGGAAGAAGCATAAGAAGAGCCACCAGCTCATAAACGCTTTGCGCCCCCTCCAACCCGCACAAACAAGAAAATAGAACAAGGCCTGGGTAGCAGGTTATGATGCTGACTCTATAAGTAACAACATGCAGAAAACCCTCAAGCCATACGGGGTTAATAGGGTTAGGGCTTTCCGGGGTAAACCCGAAATCGAGCCCACACGCC